GGGAGCTGCACGATTGCAGACCCAAACAAACAGGCCGGCTCATCGAAAAGAAATTTCCTGCCAAGCCGGTGGGGGGGGCATCTACAATAACCCTGACAGAGTATTAGGTGCTGTAGCCATGGCCCTTGACACAAGCTTCACCAAGACGTGTGCCGCTTCCATGACACTACCACCGACGCAAACACGACTCGTCACCCGACTACTGCTGTTTTCCGGAGCGGTACTGCTAGTGGCCGTGGCTTCCCGAGTCCTGAGCTGCGGGAGCTGCTGGAAGTAGCCCGCCTCCCACCAAAAGGCGCGACTGACACATTTTGGGCCGCATGAAGCTGACTGCTGAGAACAGCATCATATAAGAATGAAACAATCATGAGAACATGAATAACAGTGTAATAAAAGAAATGAGCGAAGTGATCGAAAGGTTCAGGATGAAATGAGAAATTATGAAAAAATCCCGAAGCTTAGATCGTTCTGATTCTTCATGCGAGGTACAGAGCAACTCCTGTTACAATTCCTACTGATGAAATTATGTCGTACAGCTCTGCTGCTATGTCGTGACATGCGTGCCCTGTCGCTGTTGTGTTCCTTATTTCGACTATTACCAGTTGACATTTAAGACTTACATACTACTGCGGCTTCGTCTGCTGCTAGCACGTCCTGAACGGCGTTTGCCAACCTTTCGGGTTTAGGATCACTCGTTTGGGGCTGAGCGTCCTCAGAGACCCGAGAAAAGGGGCTGTCCTGCGCAGCGACTTTGTGATTCTCGTACACCTCAGAGGTGCCACCGTACCTCAGGATATGGGCATGCCGCCGTACACGGTAAGATGGATGACTAAGCTCGTCGGCAGACTTAGGGCAGAGCTTGTCCACCAAAGAGAGTACGTCGTAAACGGGACCTCCACCGATTCCATGCGGCACAACCAAAACAAAATGCTGTACCTAGTGACATCTGAGTGCGCGGCCCGACGGAATGACCACTGCCTGACCAGAAAGTCCGGGCTTCACGGGTTATATGCGAGGCAAATCTACAGGAGCCTGTGCGATCTCCTGCTGCCGCTTGGCCTGCAACATCATCCCAAGCTCAGGATGCAACATCAATCTCGGGATCAGGCTCCATGGGAGGGCGCTAGAAGATCCAGCACCATTCCACTGCAGCAACAGCGTAATGAACTCAGGCAAGAAGCTCGGGCCAGTTCGATCTCCACCTGCGAGCAACCAAGCAATGCACGAAATCGGCACCTGGACTTTGACAGCATCGCCTCAGGGTTGTTGGTTTCGGCATCTCGGACAGCGGCAGCGACGATGCCTGGGCATTGGAGTCAACTCTCGGGTGACGAATGACAAAGTAGCAAAGGCACAATGGTGACCGAGAATTCCATGCACTGGGTTTCCAGGCTGTCGGCGACGTCGTCATACTCTGACAGCTCGCGCGCTAGCCTCTCATCATCCGCATTCTCTGCCTGAGCCACCGAGAGCATCCAAGAGCCGTCACGGGAAACGCGAGGCGAGGGAAGATTCCAGCAAGGCAATCCAAGTCGCATCTGCCACAACCTTCTCCAGGTCCACCTCGCCAGGCTTTGTCACCTGCCCAACACTGGAAGCTTCAGAGAACGCATCAAGAATAGACCCCAAACAAACAGGACATAAAACAAGTCTCCCGGCAAGGTTATCTAGGAGCCGACAGCCACTGCACAAACAGCCAGCCAGCCTTGGCATTGTCCTTCGTTGCCAGGCTTCGTTCAGAATCCTGAGACTCAACAGACGGCATTGCAAAATGACATGCATGGCCTGCAGTCATGCCTGGATGGATGGATGGATGGATGGCTGGCTGGCTGGCAGGCAGGTCTCATATAGCCACGTCTGTCGCAGCAGAAGGACACTTCCACTTCGAATGGCAGCCAGATCTCGGATCTGAGCCCTCCTTTCCCCACAAGGTTTGCCGAGGAGGCCTAAGGCCCTCGGAAGAGAAGTTTCAAGGAGGCAGCAATCCAGGCCCCTAAAGCGCAGAGGCCTAAACCCTCAACCCCTAAACCGTAGAATCCGAAGAACCCCAAAACCTTTCACTACCGCTGAAAGCCTTCCGAAAAGCAGAAAGCCTACGAACAAAACCAAAACCAATCGTCCTTCGAGGAGGATGCCCGAAGAGACGGCAGGCTCCGGAGAGGCCTTCGAGCGGCAACGAAAATCTTAAGGATTTTGGAGAAGGTAGTGGTGGAGGGAGGGGGGGGGATCGTGTTCAACTTGAGAGGACGATCTTTCCTCGCTCCCCAAACAGATCGCAGCACGAAATGATGGACCCCAATGGCAAAGGTGCGAGAGGTCAGAGGCATCTCGAGGCACCCACTGCTGGATGCCGCTGGACACGAAGCCTGCAGAGAAGTTTCTAGTTCGCCATGAAGAGTGACACTTGCTGCGCGCTACCAGCCACGTAACTGTTACAACTCTTGCATCAACATTGCTAGCAATGGCCGCTCCACCGGCAAGTTTTCAGAAACCCAAAACCCCTAATCCCTAAACCCTAGACCCTAAACCCTAAACCCTCAACCCCAACAGCAGCCCACCTCTTTGCAGGCCAGCCTTGGCAACAACACTCATAGCGCAGAGATTCAAGCACTTTGACTTGCAGTGCTCAGAAGCTCGGGTGCAATATGGGGGTTTCCGCAAATTAGGGTTAGCTTAGGGTCCTTATAATAAGGATCTTATAAATTTAGGGTGCTATATTAAGGCCCCCATGTTCGGAAACTACCTCTGGCAGATCTTACAGCCTTTTTCAGCCCTCGGGGCCGGACGAATGCCACAGCCACCGCCAATGTTCCGCTTGCAATGGTTGCAAGCCTTTGCTTAAAGGATCATGGGACTTAGTAACTAGGGTTATAATCAGGATAACTATGCTTATAACCCCAATTAAGGTACTTATAACCCGGGTAACTATACTTATAACCCCAATTCAGGTACTTATAACCCGGGTAACTATACTTATAACCCCAATTCAGGTACTTATAACCCGGGTAACTATACTTATAACCGCAATTCAGGTACTTATAACCCGGGTAACTATACTTATAACCCCAATTCAGGTACTTGTAACCCGGGTAACTATACTTATAACCCCAGGTATTCCCGGGTAGGTACTTATAACCCGGGTAACTATACTTATAACCCCAATTCAGGTACTTATAACCCGGGTAACTATACTTATAACCCAATTCAGGTACTTATAACCCGGGTAACTATACTTATAACCCCAATTCAGGTACTTGTAACCCGGGTAACTATACTTATAACCCCAATTCAGGTACTTATAACCCGGGTAACTATACTTATAACCCCAATTCAGGTACTTATAACCCGGGTAACTATACTTATAACCCCAATTCAGGTACTTGTAACCCGGGTAACTATACTTATAACCCCAATTCAGGTACTTATAACCCGGGTAACTATACTTATAACCCCAATTCAGGTACTTATAACCCGGGTAACTATACTTATAACCCCAATTCAGGTACTTGTAACCCGGGTAACTATACTTATAACCCCAATTCAGGTACTTATAACCCGGGTAACTATACTTATAACCGCAATTATACTTAGGTACTTATAACCCGGGTAACTATACTTATAACCCCAATTCAGGTACTTGTAACCCGGGTAACTATACTTATAACCCCAATTCAGGTACTTATAACCCGGGTAACTATACTTATAACCCCAATTCAGGTACTTATAACCCGGGTAACTATACTTATAACCCCAATTCAGGTACTTATAACCCGGGTAACTATACTTATAACCCCAATTCAGGTACTTATAACCCGGGTAATACTTATAACCCCAATTCAGGTACTTATAACTAACTATACTTATAACCCCAATTCAGGTACTTATAACCCGGGTAACTATACTTATAACCCCAATTCAGGTACTTATAACCCGGGTAACTATACTTATAACCCAATTCAGGTACTTATAACCCGGGTAACTATACTTATAACCCAATTCAGGTACTTGTAACCCGGGTAACTATACTTATAACCCCAATTCAGGTACTTGTAACCCGGGTAACTATACTTATAACCCCAATTCAGGTACTTATAACCCGGGTAACTATACTTATAACCCCAATTCAGGTACTTATAACCCGGGTAACTATACTTATAACCCCAATTCAGGTACTTATAACCCGGGTAACTATACTTATAACCCCAATTCAGGTACTTGTAACCCGGGTAACTATACTTATAACCCCAATTCAGGTACTTATAACCCGGGTAACTATACTTATAACCCCAATTCAGGTAACTTATAATAACCCGGTACTTATAACCCGGGTAACTATACTTATAACCCCAATTCAGATACTTATAACCCGGGTAACTATACTTATAACCCCAATTCAGGTACTTATAACCCGGGTAACTATACTTATAACCGCAATTCAGGTACTTATAACCCGGGTAACTATACTTATAACCGCAATTCAGGTACTTGTAACCCGGGTAACTATACTTATAACCGCAATTCAGGTACTTATAACCCGGGTAACTATACTTATAACCCCAATTCAGATACTTATAACCCGGGTAACTATACTTATAACCCCAATTCAGGTACTTATAACCCTACTTACTACGTCCCATGATCCTCCAAGTGCGCGCAGAAGCACCGGAAGTCCGGACGTCCGGTGAGCGAAACTCAGAACTCCATAATTTTGACAATCGACCCACATACACCACCAAGGCCCTCTGAGAACCCTGCGAGCTACGGCGACGGTAAAGCCATGGCTGAGGCATGTCTACACAAGAACACAGACTGCTACGAGTAGCAAGATGTGGTTGAGGTTGGGTTCGGGATCCTGCGAATCCTTCACCAAGACTTCCTCCCATGGGCGTTATCCGGTAAGTTTGCTGCCCACATGTCCGTAAGAAGCTGCAGGGCCAGAGAAGACAGGAGCAAGTCAGGTAATGGCTTTGGCACACCGAAGCAGAGGCGCAGAAGGGCACCAGTCCAGAAACCGAGAGAACCACTCGGTCATGCGAAACCTCGGGCCAGTCCACAGAAAGTCGGTGATCCGGGTGAAGAGTTGCTTCTTGGGTTGCAGGTAGGTTGAAGAAGCACGCGCCAGGAGCAAGAGCAACGGCAGCACTATCCGTTTTCCTCTGATAACCAACCATGGCAACTTGCTTCTGGGCGCCAGGCGTCGCTTTGATGTAAAACACACCGATATTGATCTGAGCCCAACCAAACTTCTGAAGTCACAGCCCTGACGTATGCTGGCTGCACAGAATTCTTCATGCAGCGGGCGTATCAAATCCTGGTGACTTTCGCGGTTTTCCGAAGTTTGCAACGGCTTGCTGGAGCGAGCAAGGTCGGCGCACAATCTCCATCGCCGTGTCCAGAAAACATAGTTTCGTGCTTCCCTTTGCGCGCCTGGACAGTTTGGAAAGCACGAAGCAACCAACTCCGTCCATGGAACCCCGTAAGTGTCACGGGACTGCTATCTTGTGCCTGCGAAAGCAATGTCGGCAAAGGATTCTTCAGGAAAAACCTCGTTGAAGTGCAAAAGCAGTTTAGGGGAGCTGCACACTTCTCTCAGCAACCTTGCGTCCCCACGTATCCATGTCGAAGTAGAAGACGTCCACACCAACATGGAGAAGAATGTGAATGATCGTAAACCTACGCCGCCCAGTGCCATGTGTAGAAACGAAGACCAGACCCCAGAAGTGGACAGAAAGGGCCTGTGCACCTGAGAGGGTGTGTTGGGTCCTTGGCTCCAGCCCGACCAATCGAAAGTCGCTAATCACTCAGGGTACAACTGTTCATGCTCTCTTCCTTCAAACGCATCTCTGTACCTTGCGGTGCCATGCTGGGGCCAGAGCTCCAGCAGCCAACTCTGACTGACGAAGACTTTTGCTGGAGCCGGCGGCAAGCCTTCGGTTCACTTCCTCTGCTTCTTCGCGCTGCCGTGCTGGATCAAGCCGCCTTGAAAGCATCCTTCCCAATGGATACCTGAGACACAGGGTTCATGGCGTCGGCCATGCTAGCCATCACGTGTCGAAAAACCGAGTGCTATTGTCCTGACTGAGAAGATGACGACTAGAAGCGGCCAAGCAAAATGAAGTCGTTCAAGATGAAGTACCTCAATGCTTTGTCTGCCACAGGAATAGTGGATAAGATCGATGCGCATAGAATCAGGCCGTCGTTCACCCCCGATTCTAAGCTTTCGTCGGTGCGCTCCAGCAGGTGGATCCACGAGCTCCCTGCAAGTTCAATAAGGAGGACAACTTTTGCATGACCGCTTCTACGGTCAGAGCACCGGACCGTAGAGGAGTGTCAAGGCTACATGTCGACGAACCGCAACTCCGCCAGACATAGCCCGTGATTTGGTCGCACCTCAACGAGAAGGAGATTTCGAAGAGTTTTCGGGGTAGGCTTAGGCTTTTCATCCAAGTGACGTCGAGATGTCAACCGCGCTATGGCTTGAAGCGCCTGTCAGCAAGTTACGGGGAATGCAGCGAGCTACAGCAATACGCAAAACACGGCTGTCCCCGTAATTTCACCATTCCCTCTCGAAGCGGACCCGCGAAAATCTGCAAGGCATCATCGCACCTCGCGCAGAATGCGCCTTCTGTGCCGGGCCTGCTCAGGGACAGCATTCTTTCAGAGTGGACAAGTGTCCAAACGTGACTTCCATCACTCACAGCTTCCAGTTCCAGGATCCTCGACAACGTCATCAAACCCATTCTACACAGTACGCTTCTGGAACGCTATGAAAAGAGAGCATGCCCGAAAGCCCGAAATCATCAAACCCCTGAACCCCCAAACTGCTCCGTTCTAAACCGCAGGAACGAAGCTACATAACCCTTGTATACTTCATTATACTTCTGTCTGATTTTCATCGCAGGTCAGGCGGTCTCCGCGGCCGAGCTCTCGGCACTCTTCAGGAAGAGCTGTAGGACCTCCGAAAGAAGCCGGACAACCGGTCTTTGGGAACTGTTTAGGGTATCGACCTTGGCAATTGAGGTTCAGGGGTTCAGAGGTTCGCAGCGGCGTGATGCCTCAGGTTTTAAAACCGGAAGAGTAACTAACAGGAAGACAATCAAGAAAACATAGTAGCCGAATGACTATACATCGCAACAAGTGGCGGCAGGCAGAACACCCTAACTAGGTCCCTAACTAACTCCGAAGTGGCGCCCCCCGGGTGCCCCGGCCCCGGCGTCGCGGAGAATCTCGAGGATGCAGAGGCGCTCAAACGCGTCTCTGCAGGGTAAGTCTCGGATCCTCTGAGGCACGTCCTCGGTCTTGTCCAGGGGTTTGGGGCTTTGGGGTTTCGGGTTTAGGGCTTTAGGGCTTCAGGGGTTTAGGGTTTGGGGTTGTGGTTTGGGGCTTCAGGGTTTAAGGTTTGGGTTCTGTGTTTGTTTTGAAGGACTTTTCCTGCGCTTCGAAGCCAGAAACTCCAAAACCTTAAAGAACCCTGCAAAACCCTGTACAACAGGAAAAGGATACATGGGTCTCGTGAAAGTAAGAATTGGAATAGAGGAGAAGAACGATTTTTGTAAGGGTTGCCTATGTCCATCCCAGTTGCTGAAGTGCTGCGGGGCTAGTTGGTTCGCTAGCTAGCCGCCCAGTTGTATGAGAATCACCTGGTCCTCCCATTACATGTCTCAAGCTTTTGCTCTGTACCCATACTTGGCCTCTTAGAACCTCATCTACTCAGCTGCACGTGCCTTTTGTTGGACTCTGGAATACGAGGTGAATATGAGGTGAAGTTCGAACTTCCGTGCAGTAGCTTTGTCTTTCGCCACATACATTGGTCCGCATTGTTTTGACAGCGTGATTCTGGTTGCAGATCTAATCCTTTTTTCACGGCTTGTCAACTTTCGATTCAACTTGTCTTTTGATAAGCTATAGGCTATACATGGGTCCGCCAACAGGCAGGTTGGCAAAGGAAGCCGGTAGCTAGCCGGATAGCTAGGTATGTAGATAGGTAGATGGATCTGTATGAAAGTTGTTTAAGACAGCAGGACAACCCTCAAATCCACATGGGAACCCGCAAGCATGCAACAAGTCAACCCAGTCACTGACAACGCGCTGATCAGGGTCAACGCAGCTGCCGTGACCTGTCCGCGAAGGATCATGAAACTCGAAGTTCACGCGACCCACAACGGCCCGGAGGGGCCTTCATCTTCAGTGCCCGCCCATCCGGCCGAAAGAACACGGCCGCCGAACTGCCTCAGCAGCTGCTTCAGCTACTGTGCGCTGGGCAATCTGATCAACAAGCCCCAAAACCTCCGCAAGACAGGCCGGGAGCCTTCGTCGCAGCAGCAAAGGAAGCCGTGCATCAGCCGCACCCTTGACATATCGCGACAGGGGCATACATGACCAAATAATAAAAGAGGCTGCTGCATGGGCATCAAACATCTAGGTCTAGAGTTAGAATACCATCGCAGCTGCGAGGTCCTCTTCTCCTCCGTCGCAAGGACGGCCTGGGAGGCATCTTTTCCATTCAGCTGCGAAAACTGGCGGTCCTGGCAGTTTCTACCAAAAGAAGCACCAAGCCTCCTAGTTCACCGCTACGACTACTACTACCACCACCACCACCACCACCACCACCATGATGATGATTGTGACCATGAATATTCCGATGATCATTACTGTTCTCACTAGCATTCCCACCACAGCTATTCCTGCTATGCTTCCTGCAGCCCACTTTCCGCTTTCAGCCCCGCCTGGCCTGGCCGAGGTTGGTCCGATCCTTGCAACAAGCGGAGCTTGACACGGTTTTAGGGCTTAGGGGTTTAGGGTTTAGGGGTTTAGGGTTTCGGGTTTAGGGGCTTAGGGTTTATAGGGCAGGGATTGGAAGTTGAATATCTTCGGGCTTCTTGGCATTTAGCAACTCGGCTCACGTGTGAGCACGAGCTTACACAGACGAGCATTGAATTTGCGCCTGCCCGCTGTGATACTTATAGGTTCGGTTTAACTCATGTCGTCATTGTTACTACGCTCATGCTTATCACTCGCATGACAACAGTGCATCACCGACATTCCTCCACCTGTCTTTTATCTCTTTCTTACCTGTCGCACGCAGGAAGAAGTTGAGGCTGGGACCATTCGATTTTCGAAGCCGTCAAGCACGGAGTGGGCGTGAAGACCAGAGGCAAAGATGTCCTTGATCTCCTTCCGATTCTGACGCTGTTCATAAATGATTCGGCCCTCATGAGTCAATAAGTTCGACATCGCAACTGTACAAATAAAAAGTTGTTGTTTTGTACTATGTTTTGTAGGGGCAGAAGCAGTGAAAGGCAAAGCGCGACAAAGAGGCTAACTTCGCTGCCCCTGCAGGCGCGACAAGGTGAACCAGTGGTGGTGAACCCAGTGATAGCGCCAAAACCTGGACCTCCGAACAACCGAGGAGAACTCTCTGGAAGCTGGCCGAAAGCCGACAGATTCACGGACTTTGGTTTCGGGTTTGGGGTTTACTCCTAGATCCTACACCCTTCTGCAACCCGAACCCCAACCTTGGCTTCGCATCCCTTCTCTCAAGCCACCTGCAGCGCCTCTGGCAGCTTGCCGACATAGCTTAAAGCCCCGAAACCCCTCAAAACCCCGGGGGCCCAGACCCCAAAACCTACATCCTTAGAGCAACCCTCACTCAAGAGCACACGGCATGAAAACCCTTCAAAGGAAGCCCTCGACTTGAGCTTCCCCTGCTCCTGCAGCTTCGCGTCCAGCTTGGCGTCATCGAGTTCCAAGGGCCCGGCCGGTCCTTCCACCAGGGACGCCTGAGGAAAGGACGGAGACAAAAAGGGTTCGGTTGAGAGTCTTTGGGTTGAGTTGCTTTCTTGTGGTTTTGGGATTTGGGTTTCGTGATTCTCGGGTTGTGTGTTTAGTTTGAATGCCTGAAAAGGTGAGACAGAAGGAGGGCGACGAGTGGGCTGGTTTGGGGGGGTGTTTGGGGGTTTTGATGTCCTGGGATTTTGGGGTTCCGGATTTAGCAGATTTCAGATTCGCGTTGCGGGCCTGTCTGGGCCCTTTCTCGGGTTGAAGTCTTGAGGTTGGCGTTGTGGTGAGGCTGGATGTCTGACTTTATCCCTGATCTGGAGCCTAAGAACCCCCACAAGCCTCAACACCCTAACCACTCCTCACGACACGCATCTTTAGTCTTGACCCTCAACCCGCAAGCCTTTTTGCCCCAAAGGGCCCTTCTACCCCAAATCCCAAACTCTAAGGGCCCCTGCTCTACAAAAGAGACCCTGCCCCAAACCCCCAAAAAAGCCCGAGAAACCCCAAGCTCCGAAGCCTTCCCTGAGCTTTTTAAGGGGGCCCTTCTTAAAGGATCATGGGACGTAGTAACTAGGGTTCTATTTAGGGCAACTATAAATACTTATAACCCCAATTAAGGTACTTATAAGCTTACCTACTAAGTCCCATGATCCTCCATGATAGACCCCTGATCGATCCCTTTAAGGAACCCTATTATAGAACCCTATAGTACCCTTATTAGAAGGAACCCTAAGCCTTACTTACTAAGTCCTATGACCCTCCAAGTTCTCCTCGCCTGGCACAGGGAGCGCAGCTCCTGCGGGTAGGAGCTCTGCCTCTCAGGGCCAAGGAGTTCTCTGTGCCTTGGGGGGGTGGGGGGGGGTTCTACAGTCTTTAGGGTTTAGGGGTTTAGGGCTTTAGGGTATAGGGTATAGTTCTCTAGCGCCTTTTCGGAAGGTTTCTGTCAGGGCTTCTGGGCATTTGTAACCGGCTCCTTTGGGGTTTCAGTGCTTTTAGGATTTAGGTCTGGGGCTCTTGTGATCGTGCCGTGTCGCAAGTACGGGCATGTCTCTAAAGCAGTGGCTTCGCGCAATTAGCAGCGAAGCGAAAGAAGGACCCTGAAACTTGAAAAGAACTATGGTTATTTGGAACAACCCTCTGAAACCCAATGAAGCTCTGTAGCTGGCCCTAACTTTGAAGAGCTGGCACCTGAGATCCGAGGCGAGATGCTTCACCATCTGCACACCCCAGCAGAAATCGCTGGTTGGCCTGATGACCATCAGGAGGTCTGAGGTGCAGAATTCATCTGGTCCCAACACGGACACAGCTCTCAGTGCCCGACACAGTTATCGTGATATGCAGGGACGGCTCAGTTCCAGTTGCCGCTTCGTGCAGCACGCCTCTAGGAATGTAGAGGACCTCATCAGGTCAGACCGGCAATCTCACAGCGATGCCAAAATTTCTTGCTGGTCCTGCTCGACGTAGCACCACGGCCACAAACAACGACGATGACTTGTTAGGACCCGCCAATACATCATTTGCTCTCGAACATCAATACAACTGTACTGCGTCACAGCTGCATCATGCGGCTGAATTGTAAAGTCAAGCTGTGCCGGCCCGATCAACTCCGTTGGGACTGCTTGTTCTTTGCCAAGCATTTCCTGACGCCGGCAGCAAACAAACAAACTCTTGACCCTGCTCTTTCTGGAGACTGTGTCAAGAACCGCTCACTCCCACCTTGCTCTTCTGCGAGATGCACTTGACACCACAAACCAAACAAACAAATGCTGTCTTCACTGTCTCGAAATGTCTCCGTGATGTAATCGCCACACGAACAGAAAGCCGCGCTCGCCCAGGCGTTACGGGCCTCGGTGTACGGCAGCTTCGTTGGAGCGTTGTAGAGCGTCCACCGCTTGCTGCCCCAGACTTGCAGAAGGATCACGTCCTCGGCTCTCATTTGCCAAAGGGTCTCTGAGTTCGGGAATCGCGAGACTGCCCTGGGCCTTGGGTGTCAAGGTCAGGGCCTGACGGCTTCGAGCAGAGTTGTAAGAAAGAGCCGCCGAGAGGCCTGGTCGTCCGTGTGGACACGCACAGCCTGGCACGGGCAGCTTCGGGACTGCTTGACTATACTTTGCCCCCCCAAGCGAGTTTTCCACTCCATGGCTAGCTGCACAACGGCATCGGGTCAAGTCGCCCTGAATTTTCCATCTTGAACCTCCGACCCTTAACCACGTGGACCACGACGACACGTCAATGTCATGCCACCCTTCCAGCCTGGGACTCAGGCGGCGTGAGATACACGACAGCAAAGACGTGGTGGAAGTGTTTCGCAGATAAGCCTGCAGTGTGCAGTTCTGTAAGTGGGTGCAGAACAGCACTGGAAGTGGTCCAGCACGGGCAAGACAAGCAGCAAGAAAAGGCTACACATGCTGAACTACTATCACTGCAAGTAGCAGTTGCAGTGTTAGCTGTGCTTGCAACGCAACTGCCGGCAGTCCAACCAGCCCAGCAGAAGCAGCAATTAAAGCAGCGGCAGTTGCAAGTACAAAGCTATGGTCTCCACACTGCATGCCTGTGCCCTACTGGAATGACAGAATTACAGTAACCTTGCCTTTGCAAAGCTCGTAGAGAACTCTGCTATGACGATCTGCCTGCGGATTCAACACATGTCCAGTGCACTGCAAGCAACCAACACGAGAAAGTTGGCAGTCCGAAGCTATTCTGGTTTGCGAAACGAGATGTTGCCCTCGCTTTTGGTAGCTCTAGCCTGGTTGATCACCATGGAGTATCCCGCCAAGTAGGAATGCCCTCAGTTCGGCATTTGCAGCTCCCTGCATCGCAGGTTGAAAGTCACCTGAAGGCACACCAACCCTGCCGGGCTCTCTGCATGGAGTTGGCAATTCGCTGGTCTCGTTGTTCTTGAACATTTTGAGATTACTGCCTTCCAGATGCACACATTCATCAACATCGTGTCCGAACCAAGCAACACGTGCTGCAGCCTACGGCACACTGCAGGGTCGAGGTAAAGAGCTGTGCTGAAGCGTGACTCAGGAGCCGTGAAACCAAGCATCACAAACTCAGACTGATCTAGACGAGCCCTCCATGGTCGCAACGGCGAAAGTGGTACTGAAGACGTCACGGATGGAGACCGTGACGGGCTCGACGGCGGCGGTGGCCGACGATCAAGATGATAGAGACGGCCATGGCCACCAACATCAGCACAGGCACGACAGGCACCAGCGTTGATCATTAGGGGATCGCTACCACCGATGCCGCCGACACCGCGACCGAGTCAGTAACAATAATGAATGAGGAAGAAACAGGTTTGACTGCAGTTGCTGCGATCAGCGAGACTTGATGACAGCAGTCGTCGTCGCTGTCGTCGTTCCACCAGTAACAGCGGGAGGAGTTTCAACAAGAGGTGAGATGTGGAATCACACATGATAGCTCTCCCGGTACCTAGTGTCATGATGTCCCTCAGCCTTCGGAAGCAAAGGGTCTGATCACGCCTGCCGCGCTGCTCACAGCGGATGCCACTTCGTCCGGCAAGAGTGCCTCCGGAAGCCTGTTGGCGCCTGAGGACTCAAGGAACTGCGGAAGTACATCACTTCGCCGCTCGTGAGATATTGCTATGATCTGCGAATAGTGATCACTGCACATCGATATCTTAACTGCACCATCATGTCTCAGGCATGTTGGCAAACCTTCAAGGGAGCCACTCGTGACACCAACAACTTAGGCACCGGCTACGCCCCCGCTCGGCAGCTCGGTAGTGGAGCGGCTTTCTTTCCCAGAACTCCTGCAGAGCTGCACGGCTGCACGTGCCCGATACATTTGCAAGTTGAAGGCTGTCGCATCGGTCCTGGAAAAAGGAATCGTTCAAGACCTCCTTCAAAGGTTTGGCGCAGACTTTTGAAAACTTGGCAGGGCGGCTGCAGTACAAGTACAAGTCAAGTCCGGCCGTCCTTGCATAGGCTTTCTGCAGCATCGGTGCCGGATGGCGTTTGAAACGGCTGGCCAGTCCCGGTCTTTGTTCCCATCGCGAAGCACTATGAAAGCAGCGTTCGCCGTGGATTCTTTGCTGTCATGATCTCAGTAGCCGAAGAGGATCGAAGCTCATACTTGAGGAGCCTGGATCTGGCGACCAATACCTAGGAGTCTCCTTGTGCTGTGGCCCGACTGGTAGTCCTTCTCGCAGGAGCTGCAATGCTTGCGGCTACGCTTTGTGTTCGTGGGCACAAGCAGAGGAAACGCTGCAGCAACTGGTACAGGGTACAGCTTCATGTTCATATCCAGCCAATCCAATTGACGGTCCAAATCTTCTGAAGCTATGCGACTTGGCGCCGCAGGATCCACGGGCTGCGGGCTTACGAGATCCCAGGAAGTGCTGGCTCTCCATGGCACCCCAAATAGCTCAGTACGGATTGCCGATTACGGCCCTAAAGCCTCAACCCTGCCCAAAAGGAAACCGTGCCTTTGTATGGAGCAGAAACCTGAAATGCGTCCACGGCAATCTGGCGAGAGCCACAGCCTTGCCGGGGTTCCCATCCATTGGACAGAAGGGTTTTTTGGTTCAGGATTTATGGCTTCAGCGTTTTGGGTACTCGAGTTTAGGGTTGAGGATTTAGGGTTCAGGGCTTCGGATTAGTGGTTTCAGCGCGCCGGTGGTCTAGCTTCGGGCAGTTGGTAGAGGGAAGGGGCTCGCAGCTTACAGGTAAGGAAGTCTATGAACGCAGGGATGCATTGGCCTCGGGTCGTACCGAGATGTCGCGCAGACAGCCGCAACAGCACTCGACATCCGAAGGATTACCAGCTTCTAGTGAAGCCGTGAATTCAACCACACAGCTAGAAGCTGTTGGCACGCCTCTTGTCAATGTCATACTCTGCACGTCTGTCTGTATGTCTGTGCGTCTGCATGTCTCCATTGCCGAATGACTGTATGCCTGTATGTATGTATGCATGTATGTATGCATGTATGTATGCATGTATGTATGCATGTATGTCTGCATGTATACATTTATGCATGTATGTAATGTACGGCTGTTTTTGTTTACTTGTGTGTTTTGTTGTTTGTGTGCTTGCATGCTTGCTTGCTGGCTTGCTTTCTTGTTTGTTTGTTTGTTTGCGTGTTTTTGTTTGATTGTTGCTTGCTTGCATGCTTGGTTTGATTGTTTGTCTGCATGTACCTGTGCATGTAGTTTCTGCTGCCAATGCCGTTACCACCGTTGTGGGCATACTAATACTGTTCAACATGCACCAAGACGCCGTCATAAGACTGATACCTATTGCATACCAATGGCTATCGAGCTATTGAGTACACAAAGCTCGACAAGACGATGTTACTTCTTCAGACATTTACTGCTGCGAACCCTGAACTTTCTGCGAATCGAAGTACGGCACCTTCTTGCTTTCCTACTATCCTCCCAGGTCCCGACCCTGAAACCCAAACCTTCGAAAACAAACGAAATGCAGGGGACGAAACAGCAAAGCGTGGCGCCTTTCTGGCACCCTGCCGACGCCAAGTCGATACATCTTGGCCTGACATTTGCTCGGCATTGGGGCAAAGGTGTGGAGTAAAACCAATGTGCTGCCTCGTGTCTAGCTGATGTTTCTTGCAGAACGTTCTCAACTGCAAAATCTCAACTGTGAAATCTGTTTGCCGTATTGTCCAGATGAATATGCAGCATGAAGTCAGCGAGCAAAGCTTCCGATATCTTTCGTTACGTTGCCGTGTGAGGCTAGGATGTCGACGCATGAAAACTCACCCTTGGATGTCTTTGGTTTGCTGACAATTATATTTACGCAAATGTTTCAGCATGCATCACACACAATCTGTGGATCACCATTACGACAATCAGTAGCTTCCACACAGCACGAAGAAGTGTGTGGTATCCTTGTGTTTGTCTGCTTGCGTGCGCAAGATTTTGCAGGGTATTCGTATCGAAGAATGTACCACCACACACTTCGTGTCGATACTTTTGTGTTTCTGCAGCATAGGTATGCGTTTCATTCGACCGCTGTGTTTGCGCTTTTCTTGTTTCCCTTCACTTATGTTGCTCTGCAAGTGCACTTATCGCGCAAGCTGTATCTAATGCTGTGTGAAGGACATACTTCTGCTTCCTGCAAATGCTTGAAGACAGGCAAGTTCAAGATAAAACCCTGCGATGTGCGATGCTTATCAACAAGGGACCCCCAGAAACGGAGCATGCGCTTCAGACTATGTCCAGCATAGCTTTCGTTTACCACCACCGGCTTCGTAACCCAGGACTGCGAGCACTCTGGGCCGAGGCGCTGGCCGCTGTCGGGAGGGCGTACCAGTGGCGAGAGCTCCTGTACAAGAGGCCACTGTGACCCGGACAAAGCACGGGGCGCCTTCACGAAAAGCTGCTCCTGCAAGTGCAGGTCGAGATCTGCGAAATTGCGCATGTACTTGTAATTCCGGTCCGCATACCTGGAATGGTCTTGGAAGCTGAGCAGCGGATAGTACTGCTCTCATGGCAGAACACGGAACTGCCAAGAGCTACAGAATCATTATCATTAGAATCATTTCAATCATCTTGGGGAGCATCAGAACCGCGGTCTTACTGCTAGTTTCTGCGGTATCACCACCATCACCACTCATCATCAGCAGCAACAACAACCACGACAACGACGACAGCAACAACCACGACGAGAACGACAACAACGACAACTACAACGACAACAACGACAACAACGACAACAGCGACGACAGCGACGACAGCGGCAGCAACAACAACGTCGTCATCCTGACAAAGTAGACAACAACACTGGCACACTCCAGCACACTGCTAACCAGAAAGACACGGAAACACTCTTGTGGCTGCTGCCCGTCGGACCTCTTTCCCTTGTTCATGTCCGACAGCTGCGCCAAGACGTATCCTGAAGCACGGTGTAATGCTGTAGGAGTTCGAAGCACACGTGCTTAATCTGGTCTCGGTCTGGGCCAACCGCTTGACGACAGCACGAAGTGAGGACCTACAGTTTAGGATCTAAACCCTCAACCAAACAAAATGGACCCTAAAGCTTTAAAACCCTGAAAGCCTGAAAGCTCAAAACAGTCCAAGCCCCAAACTATTTCTAAACCTGTCCTCCCCTCTAGAGCAAAGACACACGCAGGCTGCCAGATGCTGCTAGGAGTCCGAGCGGCCATCCACAGGACACGGCCGAGAGAAGGCCCTGTCCACTCAAGAGCTTTATAGGGTTTAGGGTTTGGGGTTTAGGGTTCAGGGTTTGGTCGTTAGGGATTTAAGTTTTGTTGTAAGGTTTAGTTCTTCAGGACTGTACAGGGTCTAAAGTTTTGGACCTGGTGTTTCAAGGCTTAGATATTGTAGGATTCAGGGCTTAGCGTTTGGGCGAACACAGACATATACACACAACAGTATTTGGAGAGGGACAGAGAGAGACAGATATACATTTTATATATATATATATATATATATATATTTATTTATTTATTTATTTATTTATTTATTTATTTATTTATTCATTTATCTATATTATGAATATAAAAGGTAAATAGATATACACATATCTCATACATGCGATCTGCCTGCGCACTGAGCAGGACAACATGAAAGTAAGCAAGAGGGGAGATGAACTGCATGGCAACCAGAAAAACAGCGATGGTCAACACTTTCTAGCCGGCCTCATGAATGACTTTGTCAAGCGCGTTGCTGTACTTGGCAAAGCCCCTCCTGAGCAGAGCTCAGGCAGCCTTCTGGAACTCCGACTACCCCACTTCAGGAAAAAACACCTCATGACCTCATCAGAAAGCAAATCAGCACCGGAAGCTGCGCGCCAGGGCACGCACGTAGAGCGGATGATCTCGATGGAGCCCTGGCGGTGTGAGGTTGAAAACAAGAAACAAAGAGGCTGCAGTCGCGCTTGGACAACCGAGATTTGAGACTTGAGGTGTTGTTCTGCATCGTCTCACTGCGAGGACAACACGACTTGACCTCGTATACAAAAAGACGCCTTGCAGCAGGACTCCGAAACAGAAAACTTCTTTTGCGACCGCTGATACCGCCGGTGTGTTTATGTGTCACTCTCTGCAGTCTTCTGGGTGTATTACTTTACCGTGGCGAGAGGCCGGGAAGTCAAGATCAGCCACAGAGTGCCTCCAGCCCAGCGAGGAAAGCGCATCCAATTGGGCACCTTGAGTTAAAAAACTGAATAAAGCATGAGGGTGCCGGGTTCGGAGGCCCGGCTCAGTAGGGATCTGAAAGCCAAAGGCGATCTTGCTCCGAGATGGGCAAGCCCAGCCTCCTACGTTCTATCAGATCCACCCAGTCTGAGCACCGCCCGACCTGTAGTTAAACTCTCTCCGGACGATGCTATGCTGGAGTCTTTGCGGGCCTTGTTTGTTTACATAATCTGTCCAGCCCGTCAGCCCGGAGGGTTATGTCACCTGCAACCCCCACTTCTCATGTCAAGGCCACCCAGTGTAGACTAGATTACAGAGAAGCAGACCAGGTGAATGTCGTCAACATTGTAATGTTCATGGGCATCCAAGAGACAGACAGAAAGAGCAACGTAAAAGCACAATTGTTCCTTAGCTGCCCTAGCTTGCCGCTCTGCAAGTTGCGAGGCTTCAAAATGTTTCAGTGCTGCAGGACACCGTTTTGCAAAGAAACAAGAGCACGGGATTACTGGCGAGGCTACGATTGGACAGATGCAGAGACACGACACTCACCCGACAGAATTCATCAGAACAGGGAAGCCCGACGATTTTGTCCCGAAATCCGTGCTGCACCTGACCGCGAATGCAGTCAGCCGACACGTGCACACAGCCAAAGCGAGACACGCGGAACTCGGCGGAGCTTGCCTAACATTTCCAGGAATCCCCACCCTTGATCGACGCTGGAACCCCGCAATTCGTGCTAAACACACTCACGGTGTTCGGACAAAGTAGTAAGGACACGAGCTCCGGCGCTACCCATTGCCGAAAAGCGGCTCCTGCATGGCTTTGTCCCAGTTGTCCAACACGACCCCCTGAAGGATTTAGGATGAAGGTTGTTAAACAGTAGTGTTACTGAAGATATGCATGGTGCCCACACGGTTCCAGAATTGATTTTACAGGGCTCGATAGTCGACATGCATCTTGCAAGCTCTTTGCAGTAACTTATCGACTAAGGCTTTAAACAAGGTTATATCAGCGGGATAGGAAGGGCATGTATCGAGCTTTCTACAGCCGCCTCCATGCTGCTCGGGTTATGGCGATTGTTGGGCGTGATCGGGGACACCAGTGTGGGAGCAGTTTAGGGTTTATGTTTCATTACAAAATACTGCCGTCCCCCAACCAAGCGAACAAGAAGGATCGGAGCCAGGGCTGGCACCATGGCAGTGACCATCGCTCGCATGATGGATCTTCGTCTCTCCTCTTTTCATCTCAACTAAACCAAGAGAGAGTTTGGGATCACAATAAAGGCCCGGGGGAGAAGGACAAGACCAGGAAAGTAATCCGCGACGTCAATAAGAGGTCGTCGATTCCTGCTCCTGGATAGCCTCTTCCTCGGTCGAGAAAGAATCTCGACTCCTTACGTGCCAAGACCCGAGACGGCTGTCAACGCTACAGTGAAATAGGTACCCACAGGTTGCAAAGTAAACAGCCTTGTGAATTTCCAGAAGAAGGAGTGCAACATTATCGAACAAAACCCTACCAGTTCAATCCATATCGACATACCCACGTCCCACGTGAGTGCATACCGATTCAACATAGCATGAAGCCATCATGTCGTCAGGTCAGATCGCCACATAGCCATGTTATAAGACCAACATGTTCTCGCATTTTCACATTTGCATGCTGTCGTATTCTCGTACATCCATACGACTTCGTCGGCACGGTCTAAGCCTGCTTCTGCTTCGACTGTTTTGCGGCCATCATAGCATCGAACAAGCATCTCGTCATACGGCAGGTGCTTCCAGATGCCGTGGTATCAGATCTCTCCTTCATATCTTTCGAAGATATCATGTTGTCATGTCGCGTCATTCGCGTGCCCTGACAGGCCACAGTCTTGTCTACTCTGTTCGTTCAACTAGCAATTGGCCACTTCACGTCGGTATGTTGGCATCCCATCGCCTCACTATATACCCATCCGCTCAACCATGCAGCATCAAGGTAGTGCCTTCATGACCTTCGATATTCAAGTCTTCCTGGCTGCGTCTTCTACCTCGTCCACGGTTGTGCCGGGGGCCTCGTCGAGACCGACACCAAGGGCCATCCTTTGGCGAGACCTTCGCTCACTCTCGAAAAGACCCCATCCCCTTCAGGCTTAAACCGCGCCAACTTGCGTGGAAAGAGCAGTGCGGCTGTGTTCGGGGTGCTGGATGAACCTAGTCGTGCTTGCAGCAGCAGCAGCAGCAGCAGCAGCAGCAGCAGCGGCAGCAGCGGCAGCAGCGCCGGCAGCACCGGCAGCAGCGACAACGACGAGAAGAAGAACAACAAGATGAAAACACCGTAGCAAGACTGACCATACCGGTTCACAGCATCTATAGTTAACACGAACACCTGCAATGTGACGCCAGTGCTCATGGTTTTCATCATAGTGCGCATCATCGTGGTTACGATGATTCGCGAAAATGACTTACATCATAACTCAAGCACAATATATATAGTAGTACATATGAGCAACAGGTAGCAACCCCCGTGGGGTCACTGCTGCCGTGCTTCATACAATGATCACTACGTCCCAGGTCCACGGATCAGGCCGGCACCACTCATTGGCCAGCTGGCGAAGTTGGCGCCAATTCAGGACCTGTGATTTTCTTCAGCTTGGACAGCCACTTCAGATGTGCATGTGTGAGAAAACGTTCTTCGAAGCGAACTGTACATATCACGGCGGCATGCAAAACGTGAGTCCAGCAGCATCCCATACCGTGCAAAGCTTGCCCGAAAAATGGACGCCCGCAGAGATCCTCCAAGCCCAAAGTCGCTACTGCAGAAAGCTGGCAGCTTGGCAGCAGGCACCACCCGAAACTCCATCGCACCTTGATGGCGCAGACTTGAGGCTTGCGGGTTCATGGGTGAACTACCCAAGCCTGTCACACACTTGTGCCCATGTGTTCTTGGGCCCGAAACTCCTAAACCGATCCCTGAGCCCAACTGTTGACCTCAAGCATTTCCCAAAAACCAAATATCTCAAAAAAACAAGAAACCTAAACCCGTGAAATGCAGTCCGCTGAGGCCGCCACGCATCGTCGGGAAGGCCAGCAAGCGCATGCTCCTGCCGAGTTCAGGCTTTGGGGCGTCCCGGGGTTTTGGGGTGTGGCGACCATCGATTTTTCCACGTGTGGGAACTGGACCCTGGCGTTTTGCTTGCCTGTTGGACTACTAAGAATGTTGCGAGACGTTGAGATTCTCAAAGTCTTCGATACTTGAACAGAAGCTAAGATTTCTTGCAAACAGTTTGCAAACAAATGGGACTGCGAAGGACTCGCCCCGCCCCCAAAAAAACCGGCCCCTGCGTCCACCACGCTTCCTGCTATGCGTTCTCCTGCTTCTGCTGCTGCGTTTTTGGCTGCTGTTGGCGATGGCTGATCACTTCAGCTGCTGCTGGTGACTCCTGCTGTCTAGCGGTAGACGCAAAGCATGTCCCTAGGCATCCTTACACCTACGAGTGCATTAAAGTTTCGTTTCGATAACGGTGGTCATCATGATGATGATCATGATGACCTTAATGGATAATCTCCGTGGTGATTATCATAATGGTGAGGATGCTCAAGCAATGACGGCGATGGAAGCAGGAGAACAACTGCCTCTAGCCCCAGTACCGTGGTCTCGCTGTGTTGGCTGCTATCGGCACTTCATTGGCTTGGTGTTGCCACCTTCTCACCCAGGCTCATGGTGAACAGCTCCACGGCCTGCGGTGAACAGAAAGCAACGGGAACACACACTGACACAATGCTTGCCCTGCATGGTAGACTGAGCACAGAAGAAGTGCAGGAACGGTACGTCATGTGGCTAACCATTCATGGTGAACGACAGATGCAACTCTCGCGACAGAAGTGCAGGCCTCGAAGATGGGCCAACGGCTGGAGCACATCTTAGAGCAACTCTAACACTAGCATAACAGCCGTGCTCTTAGAGGCCGCGGGTCTTGTTGTGCGCTGCATGCTTGGGACCCCGAAGGTTTCATCATCACTTCAATCCACCACCATCACCGTCACCAGCATTCACATCATGAACACGACGAACCACAATCAACATTGGCGTCACAATTATAAAAAGCAGCAGCATAAACAACGTGGTCATGACAATCATCATCACCACCACCTGCATCATCATCCACACCATGATTTGTGCAGTCATTCCCATCTACAACTACCTTTGTCTCGGAAACTTGAGTTGTTCTGCCTATCCGCATGAACTCCGATTGCGCGTAACTCTTTTGGAAGATCATCGGGGTTACGCTGGGCACATGCACACCGTGATGCGGATGGACCTATTGCTGACTTCAAATCTCCAATTGCGGTTCGCATTATCTGCACTGGTAAAATCATCTCGAGCAAAAACAAAAGTGACAAACACAACCGGCCAGCAAAGGGTAACTACCGCGACAATTAAAGTAAAGACAAGCGGAGCACCGCTGAGCCTCTGCGCAAGTGAAGTCTCGGGTCCGAACTCTCAGAGTCGCAAAACATGCAAGCTCGCAACAGCTTGCAGAGACTGAGGGTCCGTCCACATGCACCGGGAACTCTGCGGACAGAGAGTCCTTGGTCCAGGCATAAGGTGACGATGCTGATGCGACTCATGGTGCTGATGATGCGGATGGAGGATACCATGACAATGACGATCATGATGAGGATGCTGACCCGATGATGACCGATGGCTGTCGTGGCGGTCGTCGTCGTCACGTCTAGCAGCAATATCCACATCTGCAGTTGCAAAGCAGTAGTGATTTCAACTTAGGTCTCCTGGCTTCAAGCTCCACATCAGCTCGGCCTCTGGCAACCAGATCAGCAGACATTCCAAGGACCTGGCAGACCGGGCCCAACCAAACAAGGCGTCGCGTTTATAGGCTACCTAGTACAGGGGCCTTAACAATTAGAATACGGTTTCGGGTCTTGGGGCCCATTATTCCATTAAAACTAGACTATACTTACAATAAGATTTAGGTCTCCGAAAGCATTCCGATTCAAAGTCCGCCTGAACCCCATCCTGTCAGCCAGTTGACGACTCTTGGAGGATCATGGGACTTAGTAAGTAAGGTTATAAGTACCTTCATTGGGGTTTTAAGTATAGTTACCCTAATTATAGCCCTAGTTACTAAGTCCCATGATCCTTTGGTAGACCCCAAAGACGCTAAAACCACTCTTCTAATAAAACCCCTGTAGATCCCTTTAAAGGAACCTTTTAAGGAACCCTACTTACTAAGTCCCATGATCCTCCAAGCAGTCCGAATGAGGTCACGGCCTCTCTCCGGCTTCGGTCCTCCGGAGAGGAGCTCAACTCGAAGAGCGCCGTGTAGAAGTGGATGATCGCAAGGTTTAAAACCTGCTATAGGGAAGGGCTAATATACTCTATACTATACTATGCTATACCATACTATGTCTATAATTCTAGTATACTACAATTCTTTCTAAACATCTTTAGCTTCGGGATCGCTTCGCTTCAGCTTGTTTAAGTGCTCTGGCGGAAGTAGACACAGGCTCTAACACTTGCCGGATGGACTCCCAGGGGACACTCCTCCAGCGAGGCATGAAAGATGCGCATGGATCAAAAACAAAGCCATGTGCTCTGCAAACCCAAGTGCAGACCGCGAGCAGAGCCTTTTGGGTTGCTGCGTATGCATGCACTGCGCCTCATCCTCCGCAAGTATGGCTGTTAACCACTCAGACGAGCAGCTTGGGTAGCTGCAGTGTCCGTGCGGGCAAAGAAGATTGTCTCTAGGTCTACGCGCTGTACAAGGTCGGAAAGCAAGGGAACCGCACATTGCTATATGGATCCACAGCGCACGATGTGCTCACGAATCTCATGCGCTGCGAATCGTCGAATTCGAAGCAAACCTGTCAAAATTGACAAGTGCCCTGTCGTGACAAGAGCTCTGCCCCTGAAACCTTTGGCTTAGAGGCTGTCCGTGAGTCAACTGCAGTCCCTTTTGTGAAGTTGAGTGTCTGCTGCGCTCAACTCCCGACCCAGTTCATGCAGGTCTACGGCAAGTGCAGCGTGTGAGGAACTAAGCTCCACCACCACTGAACTTACAGCTCTGTGCTAGTCTCTCAGAGACGAGCATTGCGCCATTATTTGGCATACGCTGGAAATCTAGTTGTTCCAAATCTCTGGGCATTCCAGACTCTTGGACCCATGCACACTTCCTAATACTCGTACATGAATATGACAATCCCATGAACTCAGAGTCTGGATTGCTCATCAGCGACACTCAGCAGAGTCTCTTCTCTATCGTCCACCGCATTGCTCTGATTGGTGGCATTAGTTCTGTGGCTCGTGAAAACCGATGTGGCTCTTTTCAGAAGCTGGGACATACGGCCACCTTCAGTGTTTTTCTTCTCTTGGCCTCCGGGAACAACGCATCGCGGCTACATCGCTCAAGCTACGACGACCTGCAGATCCCTCCTGCACATCAGGGTATCCTACAAACAATTCAATACTACGAAGCTTTCTGAAGAAGAAGATGATGTTGGGGTGATGGTCGTGGCATTGATGTAGTGATGCCAGTGCTGGTGAGGAGGCTCGCGATGATGAAGAAACAGAAGAAAACGAGGATGATGGTGATAATTTCTAGTCGTAAGTGTGATGTTTCTTCTCCTGCTTCTCCTTGCTACTGCAGGCATTCTTAACCTGATTGTAGGAGAAGCATGCTCTGGTAGCAGCAGTCGACATGCTCGTCCCAGATTCGTCTTCCTCCTGCTCCTCGACACGGCCGCTACCGCGATAACGAAACATGCTCGTTTTCGTCGTCACGCCAGTCGCAAGGCAAGTCGACTGCCGGCTATGCGCACGTGTTTGCAGGAACGCGACTATACAAAGAACCAGAAGCGGCAGAAGCAGCAGAAGCAGCAACAGCACCACAGCCTCTCAGAAACCACAACCACGACCATAAAACGAAAAACTGGCAGACCGCCTCGCCGGGCTGACTCCAGAGGCTTCTCCTGCGTACACAGAAAACCTCTGAAGAGCCTCGCCTCTCCTTTAAAGGGTTCTACAGTGAGATCTGCAGTAGGGTTCTATATAATATAAGGGGCCTTAAGAAGTAGAATAGGGTTTGGGGCCCATGATGAGGTTCTGGGATTTGGGGTAAGGGTAGCATCATGCCGGCAAACACAACTGCATGCCATGAATGCCTGAGAACTCAGTCCAAAGCCCCACGTGCGGCCTCGGGAGGAACGATGTCCGCTGAAAAGTCCATCTCCTGGAGCGACAAGAAGATATCGGAAGCGCTTTGAGGTTGGCGTCATTCAGCGTCCAAGAGCATGTTGGAAGTATCAATGTACCAGATGAATGCTGGTAACAATTTTCTCACATGCCAAACCGATGTGCCACGAAAATGTTCCGGTGCAGATTTCCCATAGCATCCCACCAAGGATCCTCCCCCAGAATTTCAAACCTGTGGGAAACCTAGGAGACTACTAATTGTGGACCCCACAAACCCTGGCTAAAGCCTAAGTCCGCAATTCTAGATCCTTAAACCTGCACGCAAAACAAGTCCTGCAAGCAGACTGCGACCCAAATTACAGGCTCTCCAGGTCAATATGTCACTGCAACAGGCAAGCCTACCAAAGGGCCCCTGGGGCCTCTTCGTTGTCCACTACCTCGTCAGCGTCCCCGAAAAGCTGCTTCGGGCAACTGGGAACCTTCCCAAAGTCCTCTCGGGTCCGGTCCGAGCGGTTTAGGGATGACGCTAAGGCTACCCTACACCCTATGGTTTGCATTGCCATGGAACCTAAACTTCCTAAACCCTATACCCTGCACTCTAGACTACCTAGACAACTCAAGTGCTGGGGCCCTGGAAGCAACGCAGCTTTTGGCATTCGGTCCTCTTCCCTCACGGACATGCCGCTCTTCTCGCTCTTGTGGCTCTTTTGGCTCAGCTGAGGCAAGGGTTCCTGGGGCACCTCGGCATCTTCCTTCCGCATTTCTGCCTCTGCCTCTTCCTTCCTCGTTGCCTCATTCTTGGCTTCTGCCTTCGGATTGTTGACTTCTGCCTTCGGATCCTGGCTGCTGCATAATCCCAAACGTTTAAAGAACCTATGAACCGTACCGAGTTGAGAAAGAAAGAGTGAGATTGCTACCTATCAGTACAACTTCGTGGACATCCCAGAGCATCTCGTCCTCCAGCACCGTTTCGAGAGGCTCAGCCGGAGCCGGGGCTTCTGGCTCCTCTGGGCACTCCTTGCCCTGACACTTCTGGGCTGCCTTCCTCTTCTTCCTGAGCTTCAGAATCAGATGGAAGTTTCCGAAAACAGCGGACCCTAACATAGTACCCTTATAATAGGATCCTTATTGTAAGGCCCCACAATAAGGTACCCCTAATTTTCGGAAACTCCCATATGGGAGGCTGGTTGAAGTTCGGGGTCCCGTATTTTCGGGTCCGTATGAACAAGATCCGAAGAATCGAGGTCTGAGCCAGAGTCAAGATCCCAGAGACTCCAATATCCCTTAATTAAGGAATATACCTTAAATCATATTCGGGATCCTACTCTAAATTTAAGGCATTTTCCTAAATTAAAACATAATGGAGTCTTTGGGGTTAACGTCTCGTGTCCACCATCATCAACACCATCATGCTCATACTCGTAGCAGAACTCTTCTTCGCCATGGCTATAGTTGTCGTCGTAGTCGTAGTCGTAGTCGTAGTCGTAGTCGTAGTAGTAGTAGTAGCAGCAGCAGCAGTAGTAGTAACAGCAGTAGTCGCAGCAGTCGTAGCAGCAGTAGTAGTAATAGTAGTATCGTAGTAGCAGTAGTAGTAGTAGTAGTAGTAGTAGTAGTAGTAGTAGTAGCAGTAGTAGCAGTAGTACCAGTACTAGTACTAGTACTAGTACTAGTACTAATACTACTGCTAGTACTGGTACTAGTACTAGTACTACTAGTAGTAGTAGTAGTAGTAGTAGTAGTAGTAGTAGTAGTAGTAGTAGTAGTAGTAGTAGTAGTAGTAGAAGGGGAAGCAACTGCAGCAGGAACACTAGCAAATGCATGGTTTAGGGCGGAGGCGTGGTTGCATTCTTAAGAATCAAGAACATTCAAGAACTGATGCGGATTAGAGTCTTGACCTCGGCTGCGGGGATGCGCTGAATGGTCGACTCCGTGCCGGTGATACTACCATCTGGCAAGACATTCCCGTGACCCTTGAAGGTCAAGATGTCACCATTGAAATACTTCCATGCCAAGAGCTGGAAAATATAACTTGCAACGGCCAGTGGCATCACCGCCCATGCAGTCGCCTCTCCCAGCGAGCCTTTGCCAGAAATCGGACGATCCAGAGTTTTCGTGTCTGTCAGTGGGGACGTCCGTGTGGCAGTCTGTGCAATCCAATGCCCCGTCATGGGCGAAAGCGCCGCACATGCCGAGATCAAGGTAAGGCAGATGTAACCTGGGATTTACACAGTGGCGGTGCCCAAGAGTGTCTTCTTGTGAGCTACATGTCTTGTGAACAAATTCACAAAAAGAACTAGGAGAACTCAGCAACAGCCTTTGAGGGCATACCATTTGTTGCCAAGGATGGTCATGATGGAGCACCACACCGCTGCCCCCCGAGCCACATCCAGGCCCACGGAGACCAAGATTGCCACAACGAAAGTTTCCGACCGGAAGTTCACATAGCCTAGGCATCCCGATCTTTTTTGCACAAACCCTGCTACGTCGCGAGACTCAGCTGCTTCACGGCTGATGAAGAAAGCCGGCAAGCAGTTCCAACCGAAAAGAGACATGAAGATGAAAGATACAAAAAGAACCATGGCAGCAACAACTTCAACAATACAAAACTCCAACGACGGTGGCAGTGACGATGATCACGAGCTCAGCAGTCGTAAAGCACAGCAGCGGCAGCAGCAGCCGCAGGCAAGAACAGCAACAAGAAGCTAGCAACCAAACAAAGTTCAACCACAACAACTATGCTACTCGGACTAGTGGAACTCCGGCAGTCTTACTAAACCCAGTACTGCGGAACCAGTGGCACAACATCATGAGAATAGCAGTAGAGCCCAAGGCAGAAGCAAGCACAAAGCCAAATGCAGAGATGATGAGCCGCTGAAGAGTGAATGAAGCTGGAACATGTGCTCGCGAGTTGACAGGTTGAGGACCCAAAGCAATAGTAGAGTCGACGAACCAAAAGAATCTCACACGCACAACTTTACTCCCAACCTGCCGAGCAACCCAGGTCCCACAAGCACAAGGCACGTAGAAGAGATCCCGGTGGCAACAGGCAACTGAAGTCTCGCATAGCCCACGGACCCCACTTGTTCCTGGCTTCGCGTTTTTGTGGGTTGCGCTTGGGGCTAATGCAAAGCATGTAACAAACTTAAGAGCTCCCCCGAAGGCGATTCGTCTGCATTTTCTGGAAACAGATAGTCATACTGCAATCCAAGCTCATCCGAGTCAGAAAGAAGAAGATCACGGAAAGCGCCACGGGACCGACAAGACCAACAGTCAGAGCAAAGATTGCAATCTCCGAAGGCTCCCAACCATTCAGAGTCCACCACTGCGTAAAGCTCTGCGACGAGTAGGAGGTCAAAGTGTTCAGGGCCTCTGCCAGAACCAACATGATAAAAGACTTGTGGGTCATACCCTCAAGCAGCTCCGTCTTTGGAAGGACGTAGGATGCGTAGCAATGGGGTGCTTTGAAGAGCAGGACCAAAGTCGCCAGCGAGACCACGAGCACCAGCTGCTTGTTGATGTAGTCCATTCCTGCGGGGAGTGCCCATGGCTATGTGCAGGACACGCATAGCGCACCCAACATCATCTTGCTTACAAACCCCAAGTGCGCCCAAGACAGGTAAAGTAGATCGTGCACAATGTCAGACTTCTTCTCTCCATCCTCATCCCGACGCCAGCTCTCCAACCATCTTCAAAATCTACAGCCACACCTGAGCCTTTCCAGTCACACCTGGACAGTACCACAACTCCGACACTCAAATTAAACTCCTAGCCCCCGAAATACTCCCGAACCTTCACACTCCTCAACCCTCCAACGGCTCCTGCATAGCTCAGGGTCACGGCAATCCACGCGACGCCCGAGCGCAGGGACTCGAGGACCCCGATTCGCCTGGCAGCGACCTGGAAGCCTCCATGGAAGTCCTCAACTGATATTTTCGGGGTCTGAGGGAATTAGGGAAATTCAAGTCTTTGGGGTTTGGGGGTTGTCGACCCTACAGAAATTGAAGGAGGTTGAGAGGGGGCATCTCATTCAGACAGCTTCGGGCGTCCGCAAGTCCTCGTTGAAGTTCCAGATGATGAAGAGCAGGCGCGAGGTGCTCTGCACACCGCAGAGGCCAAGGTAAGTCCTTCAGTTTTGTGGGGAATGGTACAAACATCATAAGGAACCTTAAGAGATGGTGCTGGTCATTCGAGCTGGTTGGGCACTGTGACACAAAAACTGCCGAAATCTCAGAATCTCAGACCCCTAAACCCTAAACCCTTGAACCCCTGAACCCCCTGAGCCCTCAAGGCCCTAAAGCACATTCCCTGAAGACGGCCATCTTCTGCTCGTCAGACCAAGGGTCAAGGTGACCACAGCATTGTCGAAGAGTTCCTCGGGCAGGGCTGGAACGAGCACGAAGAAGACCATGTTCCTGAGATGCCGGAGGAAGACGAAAATTTTCTGTGTATAAGATCTCTATTCCATGTGTCATGATAAGAAATATACCGTGTCTTGTCCTTCTACTTAGCAAGCATTGTCAGAGTTGCCTGCAACCTGCGCTAGTTGACGTGGTTCTGCTCTTCCTTCTACTCCTCCTCCCATTGCAACTCGCCTTCCTCATCCTGCTGCTGATGCTGCTGCATGTTGCGAGTGCTCTTCGTCCCTTATGATGCTACACTACTCAACCACCAATCCAAAACCTGTGTAACTTGTGCCCAGGTTCAGGAGCTGGGCGCTGGCCATGAGCAGATTCGGAGGGACGCCCTTCGATAGGAAGAGCCAAAGCAAGCAGCCTACCGCCGAGCCCGCATAGAAGACCGTCCAGAGGGCCTCCGAAAAGCCAAAGTGATGGGCGAGCTTACGCTCCTAACGCTGCACTGCTACTCTTCGAAAAGTGCTTGTATGCAACATGCATCACGGCTATGGCATGGGGCTGAGGAAGCGAATTTCAAGCCCGGATCACTACTATATCTGTATGTGTCTGTATATGTATACGTATACGTGTACGTATATGTATATGTACATGTACATGTATATGTATATGTCGGTGTATACGTATAAGTATATGCATATGTATGTGTACTCTTATATATACATGCGTATATACATATATACATATGTATGTATATGTGTATATATATATATATATGCGTATCCTGTACAGACACGATCATTGCATGTTACCCGATATAAAACTAGACAAGCATGCAACTGAATATTTTCTCTAACAGTCTAGCTATGTCAGCTATGTGTATACGTGTATATGAGTATATGTGAACGTTAAGACGCATCCACAGACGCGCACAGGCACGCAGGCATGCTTGGATGGATGGCCGTATGTATGCATGCATGGATGCATGTATGTATGTGTGTGTGTGAACATGTATATATACATGTGTGTATATATGCATATGTGTATAAATATAAAGATACACATATATATATATATATATATATGCAGATGTACATTATATATGTATATATATATATATATACCCCACAAGGCTCCGGGGCTCTCAGCTCTCTCGAACCACTTTGCCAGGACCAGGGCCTGCTCCGAGGCGCCCGAGTTCGCCATGGCCCGCATTTCCAAGGTCTTGAGCAGCGCCTGGCTCACAGGGTGCTTCATAGTAGGATCCTTATTATGGGGGCTGTATGGGAGTTTCCGATAATTGGGGTCCCTAATATAGTACCCTAAACAATAGGATCCTTGTTATAAGGACCCCAACAAAGCACCCCCCAATTTTCGGAAACTCCCATATGTCTCTCATATACAGACAGACAGATGGACAGACAGACAAAACAATGCATGACTGGACAAGACAGGACCGGACAGCGCGGGTCAGGGCAGGGCATGGGATGGAGTCCGAGACATTGGACAGCGTTGTGTGGCACGGCATCAAAATACATTCCGTGGCATTACATTACATCACATTACCTACAGGAAACCGGAAACCTATCAGTGTGCTTACATATGTGTGCATATGTATACACATGCAATGTGTATGTATGCGTGTGTAGTTGTATGTGCATGTGTGTATGCATGCATGTATATATGTATACATATATGTAGCCAAATGTGCTTGCTGTTTTTTGCGCGTACTTTCTGTTAAATCGCAGTTTGAATGTTCTTGCTTGCCTTCTCTTGGCTTTCATGTTCCACCGGCCTTGATAGACACGGAAGATCTGAATGTTGGGAAACCCTGAATAAAACGCTTAAGCCTGCGGCGAATGAACCCGTGGCCTCGCCAACGGGGGAGAAGATGTAGCCGAGCGCAATCACCACGTGGATACGGAGGCAGATGCCACGGAGGAAGGGCTTCATCAGCCAAAGCGACAGCGGGCTCTTCTCGGTGAGACGCTGCTCTGCCTGTCTGGTGTCTTGCTCACACAGGGTCTCGAGATTTTGGTGTGTCGACTTCTCTTTCGGACCATGAGCTGTTTGAAGCCTCTCGGGGCTGTTTCGACAACTGCGGGCGCGCCTGGCAGATGTAGCTCTGAAGCGTCTCGGCATCTTTCACCTTTCCTCGATTATTCGCCATGGCCTGCTTCATGATTTCCTGGACCCGCTCCTCGCTGACACCCTGTGTCAGGAACTCGGCGTCATCGTCGATGTCCAGCACCTCAACTCTAGAATTCCCCCATTAGAGAGACGCTTCACGGAAAACCTGCACAAGGAAAGAGCCGAGACCCCGAGTCTCCCAGGTCTGTTCCAGCGAATTTTTAAGAGCCGGTAAGACAAAGACAATGACAGCCACTGCGGCACGTGTCCTTCCTATTGTAACGACTATGTTGAAACTGCTCTCACAAGTATTGCCAGAGTTTTGCAGTAATCCCAAAGGCGCCTGCATCTGGTGGGCCACTTGCGCGGTGGAGGACATGCGTCTCAGGGCACTATCGCGCCGTGGTGCCATCGCCTCCAGCGTTTGGGGGCTTTCTGGTTTAGAGCCAGGCCCGCAAACCCGTTTGTTGTCAAAACACCCTAGAACACTTAACCCGTCAACCGCCCTAAATTGCCCCTGATATACGGCCTCCTGCACTGCAGTGGTGGCCCCTTTCCTCACCCAGAGGTGGTTCAGAGTCAGGGAGGCACCTGCCACAGCCAAATCAGACTGCGGAATTTCAGAGTTTCAAGGTATAGGGTCTTACAATTTCAGGTTTTAGGGTCTTGAGTTTGCGGCTTTAGTGGTTTAGGGTTGTTGGGACTTAAACATGGAGGGCCGATACTGTAGATGGCAGTGCAGCCATTGAGCTGTTGGCTAACTACTGCCATGCCGTGCTTCGAATTCTGCGGCCAATGCTGCTCACACCAGTTGCGAAGATAAGACCTCTCCTTGAGATTCCTCCTACGCTTGACGTATTAGTGTTGTCAAGATGGCAAGGCTGGCCCGTAGCAGCTAAGTTGATCTGTTTTCGAACTCACTCCCAAACAATTAGCTTTACGATCGCTCATAACGTTGTGATAAGTCCCGACAGCTACCGTATGTGCTGGTATGAATTTCAATTCTGGTGGCTAAACACATACTCTTCAAGTCTCTATTCGTCTGCATGTGCTAAGGATGGCAGCCATGACGACGACGACAACAAATGCTGTGACATGTGAAATTCATCATGTATGAACGACCCTGCAGCTGATGACGATGATGTTCATGCTCATGATCATGGTCATGATCATGATGATAATGACCCATCGTATCATGACCTTGATGGTGATGATGACCATCATCATGGTGATGGTATCATGGCCATGACGATGACGACGATGATGGTAATGGTCATGATCATGGTATCACTGATCACGACCATCATGATGGTGATGATGATGACGGTGGTGATGATCGTGTGAATGACGTCGACGGCGACGAAACACCAAGACAAACAACCTTCATGCTGGTGACCGGCCGATTCGTGGTCCCCTATTTACCCTTTCGCACCTGAGGACCGCCGGAAGTTGGTGCAGGCCTCTGTGTACGCGCCGATTAGATTCTCCTTGGACTTCGAACAGCAAAGGTGGAGCCATTTGGGTTCAGTGATGAGAAACTGTAGCTGCCTGTAGCTTCAAGACAAGCTCCAACAGACATTCATGTAGGCTTAGCTATGTATATATGTATGAGTTCACAATTGGAGGGTGCGATCGGAGAGGGATCAGGACACCCATTGCTTCAGAGTCGCGCGCCAAGTGTGGAAAGGGAACTCAGCAGTTGTCGCATTGCTGGCCATCTTCCAGTAGTCGTTCTCATTCCTGGGAGGCTTTGGGCTTGGGGAAATGCTCTTGAGACAGAGATTCTGAAACAGAGCCAAGCTTCATGTTCAAGGCATAGTCCACAGCACAGAAAAAGGAGTCGATGAGGCTCTTGGCATCATCGGAGTTTTGCTGGCGGAAGTAGACCCCAGGCATCTTCCCGAGTCCTCCAATGGCACAACCCACGGAGGGAACCTCAGCAGCTCCGAATTGCTCCAAAATAAAGAACCGCGTCACTTGCAATTTTTGTTGCTTTAGTTTCTTCGGGTCTGCGGGAGGGTTGCCAGGGACCAGGGATGGCCCAGACTCTCGAAAGGAGAAAAGCTTTCGAGGTGGCTCTGGATATAACACGTTTCTGTGTCGACCGGGCTCTGCCAGAGCAATACGGCCCGATGACTCTTACGGACAGCTCTACATGTCCTCTCCGTCAGCTTCTTCTTCTTCTTGACTCTCCCTCCCCTTTCTCTCTGTCTCCCTGTCTTTTTCAAATGAAGTTCAGTTTTGCCAAATCCGACTCGGGAACCCCAAGAAGGCCGAACTCCACGTCCACGTAGCCGAAGGGCTCGGAGCAGGAGGGGGTAAAGCAAAGATGCGCCCCGCGCCGGCATTCCTCACTAAGCTTGAAGAACCTCGGCCGCTGCGCATGACTAGCCGGCTGTCTGTACTTAGGTTTTGTATGTTTTTGTGCGGTGACCAGGTTTTGATGAGGGAAGGCCTGGATGCAACCCCGGAATTGGCAAGCATCGAAGGCTTGGCCGCCTCTTTCGCCCGAAATGTTTATGAAAGCGGCCGATCTGCTGGCGGGCACCTAGCCCAAAAACTCCCTTGAACAGGCAAGGCGCTTCGTGCACACGAAGAGTCTGCCCTTGAACTCATCGCCGAGTCCAGCAAGTAGCTCGCCAGCGTATCTGCCACAAGCATCATCTGGGGGACCTGCAAGGACGATCTGAACATCTTGGTGACTCCTGAGAAAGACCGGGGTCAGCATGGCGATGTGATCCACTCCTTTCTGCTTCACCCAGCGGCCGATGAAAATCAGAATCTTCGCCCCTGGGTCGAGGTCCAAGCCACACTCCTTCTGCAGCTTCTCTTTTGCAATGAAGCGCCTTTCCTTGAGCTCACTGATCTCTGCATGGGCATCCGCCGGATCTGTCGCGTTATCCAGCGCAATGATGTGCGGTATGCCTGCAAACAGAGTTTTCTCGCGTGCCAGCTCCACGGCATAGTTGTAGGCCACACCACAGATCCCGTGCCCTTTCTGAACTTCCCGAATGTAGGTCACAGCTGCTTTCAGCATGTTGAAGCGACCCTCGAACATACAGTATCTCCGGATCGTGGAGATCTCAATGTTGAAGATGAGGCTGAGACGGCGGAGCGAGCTCACGGTCTTCCAAAACCGATCACAGATGAAATCCGTCTCGATGACACCACAGTAGTCCGCGTTGTGCAAGACTAGGATGATCGGCAACTGCCTCTCTCGCGACAGGTAGAGAGGAGCCATGGCGGCATGATAGTCCATGCAATGGTACACATCCGGAGCAAGCTCGCTCAAGAGAAGAGCCACTGCTTGGTTCCATAGAGAGAAATAGCGGAGAGTCGAGACTTTGGTCATGGAGGGGGGATATGGCTGTGTCTTCACCTTCTTTGTGAAGTACTCATGGCTCAGGATGTACCACACTCTGGTGATGCCCTCGAAATCACTCTGCATGGTGTAAACTACAACCTCCTGAGGCTTGCCATCCACCACGATGCTGAATCTCGTGTATTCATCCAATGGACCGTAATCGACATCACCAAACATGGGGTGCACCAGGCTCATGATGCCCGGAGGGTGCTCTTTCAGCATCTGGTCCAAGACCTTGCCGAGTCCTCCGGCACTGACCTTCACCCCCCTTTCCGGAATGGTGTGCTCGATGGCCGCCACGAGGATGTGGCGCGGCTCCACCCTCACACCCGGGGGCTGGGAGATGCTCGGAGGAGTGGGGTCCATGACCACGCTCAAGTAGATGCTCGTCCGGGCATTCACCAAGAGGATCAGAACCACCGCAGCAATCCAAAGGATGGTCGTGGTCATCGTGCCCCACATCGGGAACCACGAAGACTGAGTCTCGCAGCTGTATTCTTCAAGCGGTGGCAACGTGGCACCTTTACAGACGGACCAGTCCCCGATGTCGTCGGCCTGCACCGACCCCACTGGTGCGAAGATGGCCACGTGGCTTGTGGCCAAATTCCCAGGCACCAGCAGATAAGAGACGTTCTTGTCCATGAAGACCACTGCCAGCCGCGAGGGGTTGAAGAGGTCCACAAAGGCTTGACCCTCCGGATATGGCTGCTCGAGGTTGGGGAAGATGTACTTGGAATAGTCGGCGCTGGGAGTCTCCACCATCCTCAGCACCACCAGCATGGCTTCCGGCGACTCTGCCGGACCCCTGGAGTCGTCCAACTTCCAGTAGGCGAGCTCCTGCTCGGGGCCGTCCACGGCCTTCGCCGGGAAGTCCAGCGCGGTGCGCAGGGGATAACAGGCCTTCCGCATGCGAATCAGGGCTCGTGTCAGCCGATACACCGGGTTCCTGGTATCCAGCAATGGGTCCGAGCACCAGTGCGGGCTGCTTGCACCCTGCAGTGCAGCGCCAATCCCGGCCTGGCTTTTAAGACTGAAGTTCGCTTCATGCCCTTCTATGCCCTCTTCATCTGCAGGGCATCAAGGCCCCAAAAAACCCTCGGCCTTGCACCAGCAACAAATCCCCGAAGAATCCCCCCAACCCCCCCCCCCCGCAGGCGCAGCGTTCCCAGCCTGGGCTTGGATGCTGGGCACGGCCGATCCCAAGCGGAAAGGCCCTGAAGAGAACATGTCCTGTCGCCAGAAGCCCGGGTCCATCCGGCTCCCAAAGGATGTGTAGTCACAGCCGATGAGGATCGCCTCCGCCACTTCGTCCTTCATGCCCGCTGCCACCATGGCCGCCTTCTTGTCCTTCCACTGCTTGCTGGAACTCCCATAAACGCTAGGATCTGCGACCACCTACCGCAGCTCTCCAAACAAGCAGAAACCCTGAAAACGGTTCACGAACATAGATATTTTATGTATGCAGCATGTCCCGCACCCGCAGTCCTTCTGCTCCTCGGCATTACGATAGCAGACGCCGTTCAAGCCCATCTCGGCTCCATTGTAGATGTCCGGAATCCCGTACCTTTGTTGGCTCGGGCGATGTTTCAGAGCTGCTTCCAGGTTTTGTCTGCTGCCGCTCATGACCAACTGCATAGCACCAAACTACCGCCCCCATGCAAACCCGCGACATCTTGGTACTCGATCCTCGTCCCAGGACAGGAGCAGTTTTGTCTCTGCTACTTGTGATTTCTCTTCCTGGCAAAGCCTTCGACCAGTGTGCCCGTGTTGAGAACTACGACTGTTGCCCTTGCGTTCTGGCTTTGTTGCGGCGGTGACCATGAGGATCACCACCTTCGTCATCAACAGCAGTATGTGACCATAATCATCAACAACAACAACATCAACACCATCACCATCATGGCTGCTAACAATATTGCGACTGCTACAATGCTTGGCCTCTGACTCGTTTGCTCCCTGTTCAACTAGTGACGCCTACCTTCCGTCGTGACTAAATACCTACGAAGTGAAATGTTTTGAAAAATCTTGCCGTAAAGGCTGCACTTTTTCTTCTCGTACTGATTTTGTAGTGAGTCTTGAACGAACCGGTGACCTCTTCCAAGCAAGGCACCAGGTGAAACTCCAGGCCAAGCTCACCTGGAGCCTCCAGATGTCATCCGCGAAGTGGCCCCCTTGCCTTGGATTGCAACTGAACTTGCAGGCTCCTTGTAACAGGAATACGAACACCTCTGTATCTTGTTGAGTCTCATCTTATGTTTGCGGTGCTATCCCAGGGTCCCAGCCCCCATATCCTGAAAGTCTACTGTAATATGGCGGCATGATATTGTGAATGCGCGAGCAGGACAAAAAAGATCTGCAGAACCCCCGGGTGCGTTTTCAGCTGTAGAGCTACGAAGGAGACAGTCATAAGGCTCAAGAACTGCCGGAGGTAGAGGACTTGCATCCAGTAGGCATGCTGGACCCAGCTGCTGTGACCGATAATGCAAATAAAACTACAAGTTAAATCTTGCGATTGCAAGAGGCAAGCTGCTGTGATAAGAGCTTCGGGGTGTCCTTCGACTCTGCCGAAGCCATACTGGAGTGGATGTCGCCCTGCGACGCGAGAACTTGCCGGGATCGGGCCACCGCCACCTGAGGCTCACACTCCAGGGGTTGAGGCTCTGGGATGGTTTGTGGGCCCCTTTGAGCACCTGATTGCGGCACCAGCTCTCAAACCTCAAGACTTATGTATGTGAATGTGTATGTATACCAATACATAGTATTATAAGATTCTTGCGTGGACACATTGGCATAGCCTAAATGAATTAGTTTATCAAAAAATCATCGTTCTGGCCATCCTCAAATCATGGCCAACATCATCATCATTTTTACCCTGGTTGAAAACATCATCCGAAAATCATCCTCATCCGTAGTCATCATCGACGAACCATCCCCATCAGTAAGTCGAAGCATCATATCATCAGGAGTAGTCAACTCTGCACTCTCCACTTGCAGGACATTGTTGTTGTGGCTATTGATGGTGACACCAGTGACATGTAGATTAAAATGGATGGAATTTGCTCGAAGCTTCTTTTTCCTCCTGCTGGAAGATGCTCCTTGTTCACTCCAGTCCCCACACTTCCTCTATACTCTAGATTCTGCAGACTCTATATTCTAGACTCTAGACTGTGCTATGGAATGCATTGCGACGCGCATCGTGTGCGCAGACAACAGAAACAGATATGGAACCAGGTCATCAGAGATCGCAGGCGTGTTGAATCGACGGTTTTTGTGGCACGCAGGTCGCAGATGATCTGGCGAGGATGTTCTGGAGAGGATGATTCGAGGAAACCAGGATTGGAGGGGATGGATTTGAGGATGATTTTGGGATGGCAGTTTGGAAAAGGCAAGATTGGAGGATGATTCGGTGACGCTGAGCCACGGCCTCAAACCGTCGTTGCCCAGGCAGGGGGGGCGCCCGGCAAGGGAGGGCAGGGGCAGGCAGGGGCAGGGAGTGGGGAAATCGGGAAATGTGTGAATGCCCCAGGGAATCATCAAAAAATCATCAAAAAATCTTCAGGGCGCCCGGGAGGGGAGGGCAGGGGCAGGCAGGGGCAGGGAGTGGGGAAATCGGGAAATGTGTGAATGCCCCAGGGAATCTTCAAAAAATCATCAAAAAATCATCAGAAAATCTTCAAAAAATCATCAGAAAATCATCAGAAAATCATCAGAAAATCATCAAAAATCATCAGAAAATCTTCAAACCATCCTCAAATCATCCCCAAATCATCCTCAAATCATCATCCGTTTATCGTTTCATCATTTAATTATCCTGAAACCATCATTCTTGGCATCCTCCGTCCTGCGCGGATTATCCAAAATTCATCCTCGGGCCCCTCCGCCCCGTTGCCACGGTTCAAACACATCACGGTTTTTCGATGGGTATCGCCTAAGGGCCTATAGGGTCTAGGATGAACAGTGCGCCAATTGATTGACTATGTTCCTGTAGCATAACCCTGTAGTGGAGAAGAGGTGAGGCGATGGAGCGGGTCGGTATGCTAGCAGCGGTCATCTGAGCCAGATGGTTGTGTGATGCTCTTTCGGTAGTGAATTCTCATTAGCTGCCGGCTGTGTTGCCGAGTGCTTGCGATAGGACGTGGACCTCTTGAATGCACATACAAACTTGCAGTGTATACGTGCACTGACAAACACGGCCCCTCAAAGACAAGTTTGCTTAGGCTTGTGTTCGCAGGTGATGCAGGAGGCTTTGAGGAAGCATGCGTGGAAGTACTCCTTGCGTTTATTCGTGTGTGACTTACGCGCCTGGGAGCCCGATGATAATAAGATGATGATTGGTGGGGCAGAGGATGATTTGAGGATGATTCCGAGGATGATTTGATGATGACGAAGATGAAGATAAAATGATGTTTTAATTATTTAACTAAATCCAGTGTGTGGCTGGCTAAGATTCTTATAAACATAGTACCCACACACAGAGGTACATATGCGCATTGATTGTAAATAGAGTCCTAACTCGTAAAGTTGCACCGCGAGTCCCCCGCCTGCCACTCCTCGCGATCGTAGAGGTCCATCGGCTTGGAGGAGCCTGCAGCGACCTCAAAGCGACCCACAAAAAACGAAACGCAGGGTTTAGGGCTTAGGGGCTTGTAGGAGTTAGGAGTTTAGGGGTTTAGTGGTTTAGGGGTTTCCTTGAAAGGGACGCTCAGATATGTACCTCGAACTGTAAGACCCTGCTTCTAAGGACCCCGAAGTTGGGGCCAGTTAGGATCCAGTTAGGCTTGGAATTCCGGGAGTTTCTGAGGCCCCTAAACCCTAAACCTAAACCCTAAACCCTATAACCCTAAACCCTAAAGCCCATGACCCTAAAGTCTTTGGAGGCCCCCCGCCTCCCTGACCAAGAAGGACTCCTGCACTGGAAAGGTTGCCAGGAACCCGGGCGTCTGTGGCGAGAGAGCGCCTAGTCCATGGCTGGGATAGGATTAAAGCTTTGAATTCTTATTCCTGATTGTGTTTTAAGTACCCATGAAAATGTAAAATGTTACCCAACTATGACAAAGGCGCTGTAGTAGGGGCACATGGCATCCAGCACTCCCTGGACCTTCTTGGGCAAGTACTGGGGCCCTTGAGGGCCTTGGACCTTGCCTACGTGCATGAAGCCGAAGGGGGTGGTGGCCTGCTGGACCTCGCCGATAACGAAGAAGTTCGTCTTGCCCAGGGCGGCTGCGTAGTAGCGCAGGTTGGTAGCAAGAAAGGATGAGAAATCTGCCGTGATGTGTGACACTGCACTCACCCGGTAGCCGTCCACATCGGCGAAGGCAATCCAGTACTTCAGGAGGTTTGTGAAGAGCTCTTGGAGGTGCACGTCCATGGTGTTCAGCTCGTAGTAATTCGTGGCGAAGAACTCGGGAAAGACAAAGCCCGCCTCGATGGAGGTGACGTTCTCCAGCTCCAGTCTCAAGAAGTCCAGACCACCCGGTCGGTACATGGCCTTGGGTCCACATCGGACGAAGAAGGACTGATGCTGCATGTACTCGGGCAGGTCATTGCCCCAGGACATCTCTTTACGAGACTGGCTGGGGAAGAGGGGGAAGCCGCGATCCATACCCCAGTATGCTTGCTCCGTCTCCTTGACACATTGACTGACAGAGTCCACTGCAGGATTCGTGGTGTAGCTCATGCCCTTCGCACAGATGTGGTTCACCTGAACGTCCAGGACGACCCTCATATCCAATGCATGCGCATCCTGCACTAGATCACGGAGCAGCTCAGGGCTGCCGAAGCCTGGGTCGATCTTGGAAAGATCAGAGGTACAGGAGCCGTGGTACTCGCCGGCGCTGTTCAAGAAGATCGGGGAAAGGACCACAGTGGTGACACCGAGCTGCTTCAGGTACATGAGACGGCCCTTGACACCCTGCAAGTCACCCCCGTGGCGCCACTGATGAATCGACCAGGGCTGCCCATCTTTCAGCTCCTCCCTCTGAAAGTCTGGGATGTTCACCTCGTCGTTCGACAAGTCGCCGTTGGCAAAGCGGTCCACTAGGATACTATAGGCCACGTCCTCGTGCCAAGTCTCCGGGGAGTGAAATCGCTCGTAGCCGCTCTTCTCGAACTCCTCCTCGGCCTCCAAAACGCGGCCCCGGCTCCAGCCCAGGCTCTCCTGGATCCTTGGATCCGTTGGGAAAGGCGAGGGGGGCGCCTGCGAGGCGCTCCGGGAGTCCTCCAAGGTGACATTCCGGGCACCCGGGCACGTCTTCAGGGCCATGGAGGTCGTCAACGTCGTGGACCCGAACTTCGAGCACTTCGACAGATCTGGGGAGACCGTGTAGTTGAGCAAGAGGTCGTTGAAGAGCACACAGCACGTTGCGGGTGGACCGCTTGGCACAGTGCTGACCTTCCTCTTGCAGCAGGAGAAAGCGCCGCAGCCGCTCATCTCCGGCGAGAAATCGTTCGCCTTATACTCCACACAACGATAGGTCCCAACAGTCTCGCACCACTCCTCCGCAGGGCTGTCGCACTCAAGGAACAAACAGGGCAATTCAGAACTCCTTAAGATTGGGCACCTCTTCCGAAGCAACCTTATATAGTACCCTTGTAGCACCTCTCCTTCTACCACCCTTTTGCACTAGCCTTTTATTTTATAGCAGCCCCGTAGGACCCCCCCCCCAACCGGGCGGCTCCTGGGTCTCTCCGGCTTTGAAGCCGTGGGCCTCCCACTGCGGATTCTCCGCCGGCTCACACTCCGGGGACGCGGTGCTGCAGAGGTGCGAGAACCAGATCCTGGGTTCATGCTTCAGAGCCTAACTTATAGTTAGGGTTTATATAGGGCTTAGGGTTGGGGATGAGGGTTGAGGGTCTATAGGACTTGGGGTTAGGGATGAGGGTTTAGGGTTGGAGTTTATAGGGTTTATAGGGTTATAAAGCTACCATAACAAGCAGGGCATGCTAGAGAGTTTGACAAAGAGACCATCCTGAAGAAGGAACGTATGGCGTAGTTCCTGCTACAGAAGACTCCAGAAATGCCCGACTCACTCTATGGTAACTCAATTCAAAAATTCCCTCAAGATGTATAAGTCTCGTAAGCAAAGTTCCTTAGGTCGGAGTTAACTTCCCTTACTTGAAGGCTCATGGGCAGCTATAACTGGGGTTATAAGTCCCCTGATATGGGTTACAATTGTGGTTACCCTACTCCACCTATAACTACCCACGAACCTCCAAGCGAAAAAGCCTAAAGCCTAAATCCCACACCCTAATCCCTAAACCCTAAACCCCTAAACCCCTGAACCCTAAATCCTACACCCTAGTCCCTAAACCCTAAACCCTAAACCTTAAACCCCTACACCCTAATCCCTAAACCCGCAACACCCCTAAGCCTTTGAAAGATCCGAGCCCAGGATCTCCGTGGCCCATTCGGCCCCCGAGGCCATGCCCTGGTTCGCCGACCAGTGGCCCCGCTCCTCCATCCACCGCCGACTCGCCTCTCAAGGGAGGCAAAACAGGGGTTTAGGGGTTTAGTTAGGGGTTGAGGGTTTAGGAGTTTAGGGGTTTAGGGGCTTAGGGGTTTAGGGGTTTAGTTCAGGGGTTTAGGAGTTTAGGGGTTCAGGAGTTTAAGGGTTTGGGGTTCTGTAGGGTTCTTTAAGAGGCTAAGGCTACTCGAAGGGGTACTAGGTAAGGTATTAACAGAGGTACTGTAAGGGTAGTGGAGGGGTAGTCTAAGCGTCGGCGTGGGTTCATGGGTACTCCAAGGGGTACTTTAAGGGCACTGGAAGGCTCCGTATCAGGGCTTAGGGTTCTGGTACAAAAACATAATACTATTAATGTACTGTCAGGGTCAGGGCCGTACCAAGAGGTCGGTACGCTTAAAGAGGTGCCGTAACCGGCCTCGGATCCCGACATGTGTGGATCCACATGGAAGGTGTAGAAGCGTGGGTCGAAGGAGGGCATATTGTAAAGAAGTTCTCTGGCAGGATGGAGCCCATAGGAGACCGTCCAATCCCGGAAAGGCGCAAATTTGCCTTTCAAGAACCGGTCAACAGTGATGTTGGCCGCCCAAGTAAAATGATCCAGCTTCACCATTGTCCCCTCGCCTGCCTCACCCCACCTGTTGAACTGACCACGCAGGAACATAGACTCGTGCCAGCTGGCAAAGCAAGGGCCCTCCATGTCCGCGCAGTCACCGACGATGAAGCTGGCACTCCCCTCGGCGTGGTACTGCACCAGGACCGGGATTCCAGGAGCGCTCTGCCAGGCCGTGACAGGCTCTGCCGATTTCCATGTGGACCAGGCGCTCCCCACGTTCTTGATGCGGAGCCAGGAGGCCCCGGTGGCGTTATGGCAGATCCGTGTCCAGTTGGCGCAGACGAGGCCCGGCATGCTGTGCAACCACGGCCGGCTAAGGACCCCGAAGCTCCGATCGACAACGAAAGAGGAACGGAAGCTGGCGAAGAGAGGGACGCCATCCTGCGATGTTGCGGTCTCGATGATGGACACGTGGTGCACTTGATTGCTGACCGAGGCTGCATCAAGCTCCAGCATGATCTCCTGGCACGCGGGGGTGGCGCACCGGAAAGCAGCCGGCTGTCCATCAAAAAGGGCCGCAGAAAGAACTGATGGCTGCATGGCCCTGTCGAAGCGGATTGTCACATTCACCACGTCCCCGGCATCCGCCGACCACTCTGCAACTGAGCCATGCCCAGGGGTCACAGAGACCACCGAAGGCGGCACAGTTGCCACGGGTAGAGGAACGAGGACAAAAGCAGCGAGGGGGTGCAGCTTGATGGAAACGTCACGGGTTGGGGTGACTGTGAGCATCAATGGGTTCCGGACCTCCAGACTGTCGCTAAGCTGTGTTCCGCTCACCCAGGACACCGGAATTCTGACCGTTTTGTTCTCAATGGTTTCAAAGCTGGCAACCACCAAGACCTTCTTCAGACTGTCACATCCACGCTCGAACACCACGATTCCGGGGATCTGCGGGTTCGGTGCAGTGACGACGTCGCACTCCGCCCTTCCGAAGTCACCGAAGTACCAACGGCGAAGGGCGTTCAGCCGAGCAATGTAACCTTGCAGCTTAAGTCAAACAATGGCTGTTCGCGGTCTGCACTTGCGGGGACAGATGGCGAAGTAGAACATGTGGTTACAGGTGGCAGGATAGAACTCGGTCCATTGCAACACTACTTGCACAGATTGCTGCTTCGTGTTCCCGGAACATACCGAGCAGCCGAGTACAGAGGTCACCGCAGAAATCAAGCTAACTGCTACAACTGACTGACATCACCAAAAGCTGGACGTCTCTGCATCTCAACCCACGAAACAAGAACACTTTCACACAGGAAAGCCCGAAACTTTCGAAAAGTCATTCAAAAATGCAAGCCACGATATGTCTCGCTGGTCATGTCGAAGTTGTCGCGGTCTGCGGGGTTCCCGTCCGGGCGGGTGGGTATCGCTTGCCAGGCGAGCGAAGCACTTAGCTCCTGAAGACAGAAGGCAACCAACCAGAAGATGCAACGGTTCTTGCGAGAAAAACAATGCTGATAGATTCTGTAGGAGGGAGGGCGCAGTGCCGAACCACTTCAATCCCACAAACACATTCAGACTGTGGGTCTTCGCTCTCTTTCTGACTTTTACGGTTTGAGGTGAACTGACCTTCACGAACAGAACCCACCTCGCGGGCCCATCCATCCAACGCACTGCCCGGAGTATCGAAGTCTTGCTCGTCGCCGGCATAGTGAAGCGGGATTCCTGGCCTCGGGCGAGGAGCAAAAGACACAGAAAAGTCGAAAGCAATGAAAACCACTCAGTGCGCTGCCAGAAAGTGATCACTGCCAGGCACATCCTCATTTCAGCCTTGCCGGTCATGCTCTGCATGCGCCAGTTGTCGTGGTTATTGCAGAAGGTCATCATGGCGTACTCAGATCTGTTCGTGGTTGGATCAAAAGTGTCGATCATTTTGTTCTCTTCGGTGTAGGCCATAATCAAACCATCTGCATACTGCGGGTCCTTGTAGACCATGGCCGTAAATATGTACCAATAGTAGGGATAGACGATGCCACCTTTCAACGTAGCCGCGCCGTCTATGAAAACATCCTGTCCGTACCTTACGCCGCATACACGGGATTCGATCTAGAACCCGTCTCACCTGCAACCCGTCACACATGCAAAGACACACTCCACTGCATGCAGAAACAAGGCAATACACAACGCTAGCCGCTGGACTAGGCAGCTGACATCGTATTGTCTCGACCTCTCCCAGTCATCGTGGCATAGCGCGAAGGCGTCACATAGAACTCGCCGAAGATCCCGAAGCGCTCTTTGCCGAGCGAGGCAGCATGTTGTCGCATCGCAGGGGCCCAGACTTTGAAGAAATTCAGCGGAACTTGCATGGGTGTGTCCTTACAGATGCAATTATATATCTTGCTGTCTAAACTGGCTGATAGCATATGATGCAACTACCCGGTAACTACCTAGTGAAGATTCACATCTGTCGCAACAAAACCTCTCTTCTGACCTGCAGCTGGGAATCGACACGAAAGCCATCAATGTCACAGCTTTCGATAAGCGCCCTTGTCATGGCAATGTACTTTTGCTGTACACGCTCGTGTTCCAGTCTAAGGTCGTCCATGGTGCCGTAGATCTTGCCAAAGTTGATTTCCCATGGGTCAAAGTAATCAACCAAGTCTCCATTGTGATGGAAATCCGACAAATCGTAGGTACCATTCCCGTCGTCGGTACGCCATTCACCATACTGACCATACACTTTGCCACTGTATTTCGCGCTTGGGACCCAGGTGTTGTCATAGTAGAAGTCCCGATAAGGCTGCTTGCCGGCAGGTGTGTCGTGCATCAAGCTGTCATCCTGGCTGCAGCTCACATGGACGAACAACAGCACCCGTCCGCTTGCCCAAACGGAGTCACAAGACTTAGCCAAGTTTCCTTCCGTGCTTGCAGCAGATATTCGCGCAAACCTCCATCCTCGTGAAATCTGAACGGCGCCTGAGTGTATTCATGACCGTCGAAGAAGAACTCATTCGCCATGTGGTTCATAACGACCTCGTCAGTTCGCTTCTTTGTCATGACCAACTTCTGCAGGGTCGTGCTACAAAGACGAATGAAAAGTCAACCTGCCATCAGCATTCAAAGTCTGAGCCCTGAACATCAACAATGACATACATTCCCAGGTCGTGCGCGGTGGTGACGAGATTGCGGAGCTCTTGCAGCGTCCCCATTCGTTGATCCAGTAGAGTGAAATCGATCTGCGCGTACCTCAGCGATAGACATGAGAAACCGGCTACAGTAGTGCTTCGAGTTCAGACCGCTGCGGCTCAGAAACATCTCTCGGTTCTGAACTCCTGTGGAAGACTGGCCATGAAGTTCACGAACATCACCAAACGTGCTCGGGGCTTGCTTCTACTGGTGGCAGCCAGCCGAGCGATGCAGATTGATTCGATATCCTTTTTACGTGGGAGTTTCCCGAAACGGTAGGATCCGAAGCAAGGCCCCAAATTTTACCAAACCCACACCAGACGCAGCTCCTTGCTGTCGGGACTCTGATGGTAGAAGTTGAAGCCATTCTGAAAGATGGGTGAGATCCACACGCCCTGCAATTGAGGGATGACGAACCAAGAAAGCGTCTTATTGCAGAGAACCGGAACGGGATTGAGTGCAAATGTTGCTTCGAGCTTTTTCTTGAGCATATTGGGTTTGCTTTCTTGTATAGATACACGCTCTATCACCTTCCTTTGTGCTTCTGCCGGCGCAGAAAAGCAGCAGCAACACTGGGTGTATGTGTGTGTGTGCGTTTGCAAGCTAAGTGGAGTGATGCCTGACTCAGAACTGGACTGAAAATAACGTTGTTAAGACTGACACACTGACATGAGAAGGCCTTGCGAAGTCGATACTGGAGCCGACAATTAACTTGAGCAAAACGAGATTAAGAACTTGGCACTGGGAAACGTCAGAGGCAAATTGGATCTTAACTGGCTGCTATATTAGTGCTACTGTGGTTATGTTATTCTGATGTTAAAGACTTTGGTCTTCGGGGAAGCGGTGTCGGCTTCTTCGACGCATGCTCCTCCACTACGCGATGCAACTTGCAACGTGCAACGACAGCGGAAAGAACCGGGCGTAAAGGGCCGAAGACTGCGGAGCAAACCGCGAATTCTAGCACATTTGAGCGAAAGCTTCTTCCAGAACCTACCACTAGATGGGCAGCACCTCCCACATCCGACTCAAAAATCGACGCAACATGAACCAAACAGCTTTTGAGACATCATACGATTGAAGCAAAAAGCTCTCCTTTATGACCTCGTCAAGACAAAGCCGTTTATGCTGCGGGAGGACTATCTAGACGTCGAAGGCATCAGAGGTTCATTCGGAACCCTTGCCAAAGGACGTGATAGACGCATACAGAACAGCACACAGACCCGGAAACGAGAAGCCGACAGAGTCTCCCTGGAGACGCTCCTGCCTGGCAACCCAGGCCCTTGATGTAAGGGAGCTTGTTGGTCAGGCCCACGAAATCGCCTCCATGCCTGTCGGGATGGGGCGCACTAAACCCTCGAAATCCCGAAGCAAGGGCCTTTAGACAAAGGCGGCGACCTGAACGTCATGTCTCGTACATCGAAGCCCCCGTCGAATAGCTCGTTGTTTCGAGGATCGCCATCAGCAAATCTATCGGTGAGGAGCTGATAAATGGACAAAGATCGCCAGTCCTGGCACGGCAGACATCCGGCGACAGACTAGACGGCAGCCTCCAAGAAGTACCCCGGGTCCTTCGGAGATGGAAAATACACATGATTCTGCCACTTGCCTTTGTACTTGTCCGGCTCGTGCCTCAGGTTGCCACTATTTCCACGTACAACATCAGCTTGGCAAACATGCATTCTGAGGGTGCCGGCTGTGTTTCGATATTGATGTTCCACGGTGCATTCCTTTGCTGCATGTACAAGACAGTATCGACGAGAAGCCAGATGGTTCAAGGAAAGCTCGAGCTTTCTTCCATGCCAAGCGTCTCTGCAGTGAGCGGTGCGGCGTCAGTAAGGGTTATCCATGTCACGCAGGCGAGGATCCAGCTCGGGTGGCCTGGCTTCGTAGTAGCAGGAGTTTTGTTCAGGGTTCCTCTGACCTTCGAGGCATTCCCAAGATGGCCCATGCAACAAGGTGTCGGAGCATGACAAGTGCATAGGCCCATCTTTGAAGTGGCAGGCACATGCAAAACTCAGGGTTTCAAGCACATCAACGTGAATTCTGCTTGTACTTGTTACAACATGATGCATAAAAGCCTGGACGAGAACAGATAATTGCTTGGAGGTCTTCGCGATCCAGGTCAGACCGCCACTGTGTTTCCAACACACCTAGCCTGGATCACCTGCCGCAGCCTATCGGCGGCGTTTTGCCTGGATTTCAAGGGTCCGGACCTACTTCTCACCGATTCAGAATTTTCGGGACCCTGATATAGTCACGACCCCAAGAAATTATTCCCCGCCCATTTCGGAGACCCCTACTTCTGCCCCCGACTCTTCAGCCACAGCAGCTGGTCATCCTCTTCTGGAAAACGGCGTGGCAAAAGTTGGACTGGACCTGCCACACGAGCTGCCGGACACGCACGCCAGCAGTTGCAAACACACTTGTTGCTGCATGATGCTACTGCTGGTGCTAGGAGTTACTATGAGCATTGCCCCATCGTTTCCTTGCTATCGCGGCTATGAGAATTCTGTGCCTGGTATTCTCATTACCATAAGTACCACTGTTCTGCAATAGCATAGTAAGTGACAGTGGCAAAAGCAGTAGTAACAGTAGCAATGGGAGTAGCAGCAGAAAAGGCAGCAGCATCTTCAGAGGTAGCCGTGGCGGTACCGGTTAGCAGCAGGCGGGAGCAGTAGCAGTAGGAGCAGCAGTAGTAGGCGTCGTCGTCGGTGTGGCCGTGCTGGTCGTGGCTGGAACTTTGCTCAAGAAGCTATGTTTCTACGAGTCTGACTTGCTGCTGTCAGACTGCGACAACCACTGCAACACCAGTGCCTTATCTCGTTTATTGCTCCTATCACAGCTACGGGAGGCTCGGCATGTCTACCGGTCAACACGCTCCGCCACAAGAACAGGTTCACAGGTGCCTTTTGCTTGCAAAGCTCCAGCCCTGGGCGAAGGTGGAAGGAGCAGCGGCAGAATTGAGCCAAAGTCCGTTAGCGGATTTCAATCGCGCCTTATACTCGGAAATCTGCTTACATGTCCGTTATACTGTGCTTTGCAACCGGCAAGCGGTAGACATGAGATTGTGGGCTTCTGGCTGCATCTGCTCTCCTTGGAAGCCTGCTCCGCCTGATGCAGCACTATGCGCCCAGACCTGAAAGCAAAGCGACAGTCACACTTCTTCCAGCAGCACTGCATCAAACCCTCCCCCCCGCCCCCCCCCTTTCCGGCACATCTTTCGCAGATCGCCTGCGGTAAGCCTAATTTGGGAACTTTCCCGGATTTAGAAAACGTGTGAAACATGACAGAGAGCAGACTCCCGCTCTTCTCGGTCAGGCGCCTCGGCCTGCCCTGCCACGTCCCCGGGCCTGCTGCAAGGGCCCGCAAAGGGACACGGCAATCTTCCGCGAGGCAGGCTGTGAACACCGCCTCCCTTGCTCTACATGCGCTCATCATTGTCGTCTTCCTCCGCATCTTCCATGGCTGCGTCGTTGGCTTCTGCATTCCACATGACGCCGAGCTCGTTCTGGGGCTGACACTGGCCGCCCAGCATCTCGTCCAAGTCAGGTTCGGAACCACTGTCGTCCCCCTGCTCGTCGTAAGGGTCAGGATTCAGCGCAGACATCTCCGAGAACACATGGAACATCCTCAGTTTTTTGCGAGGCTCTTCAAGCGACCGGCGGTACCCACAAGACACAGTTCCCTAAATGTCTGAGAGACCAAACTTCGACGACACTCCCTGCCCAACCGACCCCTCCGCGGAACAAGCTGCTCCTGCAAGTGAGCTGGCTCGGCAGGGACGAATCTCAATTCTGGGATGTTTGCATCCTCCTCGTGCAGGCTCGCGCTGAGGCAACTGAAAACCGACGGTTGAGAATCACAGCAACGTGAAACAGCGACTTCGGAGCCAGGCAGAGCCAAAAAAACAGCGCTTGAAACACGAGAACACGTTCCATTTCAAGAAACCCCAGCTTTCTCGGCGACCCCACCTCTTCCTCCTCTGCCTCCTCTTCTCGGAGCTGGCAGTACAAGCAGGGATCCGGCCAGGCATTCTTGTCGCGAGAGACAGCATGCCTGAGACAGATCCCTTTCCTTTGGGGCTTCAGGGACGCTCCACGCTAAAACTGATGTTGATAGGCTTTTGGACCGTGACCGGGGGTCCTAAGTTCGAACTCAGGGCCGAGTTTAGAAGTCCTGTTTCATCCACTGAGGCCAGGCACATGGTGATGAAAGGGTAATCGATCGCACAACCCGGACCACCGAGCCAAACCAAGCGCTTCGTGGTCAAGTGCAGCACCCCCTCGCCCTCGAGATGCTGCCGGGTGTACAGCCTGACACCGAAGGGCTTGGGGCTTGTTTGTGATACGAAACGTGAAGGCCCACGACGTAACACTGTAACAACACAGGCAAAGCATGGGTTCCGTCAAATTATTTGGACGTATGGGCACGACTCCCTGCTGCGGTCTTACACGGCCTGGTCTTTGGTTCCGAAAACCGTATCTCTTCACCGTCAAGTAGAACAGGAAGATCTCCGTTTCGAGCCGGCGACTTTTCAATCGGCATGGCGCGCAGCAACCCTACCGCCTACCAAAGCTCACGCGATGCTGTGATCCAAAACTGCCAGATGAGGCACCTGAAAATGCTTGCAGAATCACATCTGTGGCTGCCAAAAGCTGACCCTCAGCAAGAAAAGGCTGTTTGCTTGGCGGACATCGGTGCATAGGCAGCTTCGACGAATAAGCCGGCCTTGACGGTGGACGCAAGGTCGCGATGCCTCCATGACGCAGAGGCACAAGAAGCGTTTCAAAAAAGCAGCTACAAAGCACGTCCTGTAAAAAACTCATTGCCCGGACCGGCTGCCTGCAAAACAAAAACACTTTCTCGGACGTCGTTCGTAGCAGCGTTGTTCACTGCCATGCACACGGCCTTTCTGGGACTCCTCCACAGCGAAAGTCACCTGCAGGTCACTGCACAGAAGGGAAGCACCGGTCAGGAGTTAATCATGCATTCGGGTCCATGGCGGACTTTAGAAGGTTGATACTATGCTTGGTGTTTTACCTAGAAAGATGCATATTATATGGGAGCACGCCTGGTAAAGTGTGAATCCGCGCGAGGCCTCTTCATGAAGCTGCTGCCAGTCAATGCCGGATGACCTTTGCGAGCAATTTTAAGGTTCAGCTCCAACAACTGCACCAGTCGAATGACGATTGAAATCCCGAGCCTCCTCTGCACGGAAGCACAATCATAGTCGAACAGTGGAGTTCTGGGAGACCCATAACCTTCGATTGAGGAGTGCCGGAAGCAGAACGTGCAAATCCGAAAGCTCTCCGCCTCGGGCAAGCCCGGCGCCTAGCACAACCTGCTTCCATCTCATGGCTTGACATGGTGTACTTCTTGCCGCGCCAGGCTACGAACGGTTCTTGAACTGGTAAACTCATAAACCAAATGAACGACAACACATTACTCACTGATAAAACTTCTGGTTCCGTTGCACATGCTTCCCACGTATCAACTACTTACCTTGGCTTTCTGGAACAACACAAGGCTGCTTTCCACTACCATGGTTGATGACAAATACAATACTTAAGCTCATGCTTAAACCTCATCGAAAATCTAAAGCAGTAAAGGTAGCAAGTGTCAGTCACTCTTGCCGAACCTGGTCCTGTAGTTACGGACCCCAGCATTGGAGCCTTGACATCCAAAGCGGTGCTGAACTTGCAACATCAAGAACACCAAGAGAGCAAGCCTAGAAACCATTGAAGCACTAGTGCTGGAGCATCAAGGAAATAGCATTTTTGCAGGAGTGTTGCAAACGTTTTTCCATTCGGTTGTGCTTATTCTTTGCGAATCTTACGGAATTATTGCTTATGGGACAAACGATCTAAACTCTAGAACTCTAGAATGCGCAACGTAAACTTTCAAGTTCAAAGCTTGAACGATTAAAGCCTAAAATTCAAAACTTCAAACAATCATTCTTTCATGTGCTGGGAGCAAAACCAAAGTCTCGAGTTTGCTAACATTGTTGCTGATGTTTTCGCTCGTTTTTGCCAAATGTGCTTCAATCGCTCAGGACAGCTGAGCCAGCTTTCATGTGTACACGATTTCAGCACCCTGTTTGGAGTCCCCCTCCATTTTCAGTAGTCAATGCGGAGTGTTCGTCAAGTCTGAGCATCTGTCCGTTTTCGAACAAAGTTTCCGCACACGTGCGCAACATGAATCTGCGATTTCAGGGGGCATGGTAACCCCAGAATGCCTTGCCAAAAGAATTTCCGATGTCTGCATGACCACGCAGAAAAGAAGCAAGGCCCACTCGCACGATGATTTGGCTGCATAAGCACCTGCACGAAAAGCAATCTTTCATACATTTAGAGAATATGGAGTCACGGCTTCTGCTAGCGCCTCTCGCTGCGGGCGTGACATTTTTTTTTTTTTGGCGTGAGAGGCCCTTTATCGACAACAGCAGTGGCACTCAGTCCCCACAAACAAACATATTGGGACAAGGAAGTACTGTAAACTTCCGCCTTGACTGTACAAAGCCTTTTGAACTTGCTCTGGACGCTCATTCCACCCACCACTCTGACAGAGGCAACGTAGCGCCCACAGATGATCCCGCCACAAATGCGCTCCAGGGCCGAGCGCTGTGCCCTGCTAAACAAATACGTGTTGGAGGGCTTGTGGTATTGGACACAAGCCGGTTGCCGAAAAAAGGATAGCGCAGTCCGTCCAATACCACACGCTGATCCGCTTGGACCCGGGGAGCCAGATGGCTGAGCTTGCTGGGTCGTAGCCGTCTGGTAGAAGGATGGATCCTATCGCCCCTTAAAGCCCCCTTTAGGGATCTCTAAAAAAAAGCAAAGGATCGAAGCCTTAAACCCCCCTTAAAGTCCCATAAACCCGCCTCCGTAAAAGCGTTTTATAGACCAGTGCACAAACCCGGAAATTTTTCACTTGTGTTCCAGCTCGAGGTGTTCGAACCTGGGCTTTACGTCCAACTTGCATTATCCGAGGTGTTCGAACTTAGAAATCAACCCTTCTAGTGTTCGAAACCTATGCTGGAAAACTCGTTTCTGCATATCACAAGACTCCACAGAGATAGATCATTTTGCACTTTCAGACACCAATGAACGGACTTTGCCGGCTGAGTCTGTCGCAAGTCTGTACGTTGCAGTCACCTTGTTTCACCTTGCACAGTTTTGAGTTTTGAGTTGCCGCTTCTTCTTCCTTGTTTCTTTTGGAGACCTGGCGCAGCAGCCACTCAACGAGGTTGGCCAAAAGATCAAAAATCGAAATGTGGTGGCTGCATGCACCATCGAAAACCAGAGCCGCTTTCGCGTCGACTCTTTGTCGGAGATGTTGAATTTCACTACTACGGTCGCTTCATTCTTGTGTTTTTGCGGACCAGATCTTGGCTGCTAGTACGTGCAACACGCAACGAATTTGCCACTAGAACAAAGCAACCGCCAAACACAGATAGAACGGAGGTGATACCAAGATTATTTGATGTGGTCCAAACTTTTCGTGTTTGTTTTGACAAGATCCCCATGCATGTGTGTGTCTGTGCAAAAAAAAACAGCAAAGCCCCTTGAATTGCAGAACTCCGTGAACCAATGGCCTCTTGAACGTGCATTGAGATATGCCTGAGAGCATGTCTGCTTCAGTGCTTCTGCTTTCATTTTTCTGCTGATTGCGCCTGAAGCCCAGGGAAACTAACCATACTTGGAGGATCAAGGGACTTAGTAAGTAAGGTCATAAGTAGGTTTGCCCTTGCGAGGCCCTCTTTGGGAAGCTGGGCTGAATGGAGAATGGCCGGGATGAGTGGTTGTATTGTTCGACCCTTTTTGGATGCTGGGCAATATGTGTGCCATTGCGCGACTCAGTCCAACTGGAGCGGCGGTTGTTGCTAGGTGCCGGGCATGTCTTGCCGAACGACGTCTGCCGGCTAAGTCTGCTAGTCGCGGCCTGTCTCACCTTGTTATGCATTCTTTCTTTGTACAATTGATTTTGTTCTTGGTATTATTGTGTAGCCTTCTTCTTCTGTACAGTTGTTTTTGTTATTGACTTTATTGTAGTTCTTACTGGGACCGAGTGCAGCAACTGCTGTCTTTGAGGCCCGCCCACGCCAAAAAAAAGGAGGTCCGCCCACGCCAAAAAAGATCAAACAAAATAAAATGAGAGAAGAAGAATTGACGAAAAACATGGAATCTTCGCACAGTAAACAAAAGACAATCACGAACTTAAAAGAAGAAGCCACATGAACGAAAACCACTTCATGGTGGATTTTGCAAAAGAAATAAGAAGCCACACGTTTTCGCTTGGGTTTTTGCCAACAAAATAAAATCAGAGAAGAAGATCAACGAAACAAAAACGCAAGCACACAAAAAAAAGACACAAACATGAAGAAGAAGCCAGACGAACCAAATCGCTTCAAAGTCTGCAGTTTTGGAGCCGCATTTTGGTTCCGAAAACCACTTTCCTGGAGTTTGCTATGGGTTCCAACGGGTTTCCTGCGTTGTCATCTGCTATGGTTTCCTTTGAGCTCTGGACAGATGCGCTGCGGCTTTTGATGGGTTTCTTCCTCTGGAGTTCCACACGTTGTGGTTTGCTATCTGTTCCCGCTGTCTGTGGTTTCGCATAGTTTCCCAAACGTTGCCGATGGAGGCAGCTGTGGATCCCAAGTCCGCCCAATGTGGATCACGCGAGCATCTGCGAAAAAGATCTGAGGAAGCAGGCAGATAGCGGTGCTCCTTGAATAATGACGTGGCAACTTTGTGACCGTTTATGGAAGGTAAGCGCGCTTCTGAGCTGAGGGCATGTTCGCGACGTGATTTCCAACAAACTCAGCCTGTTGGTGGCCTGGACGAAGATGGGTGGGCTCGCGACGCAGGATCTTGGTAATGCTTTGCGTGGCTCGTGCAGGCATGACTGCGTTCGGAGCAAGCTAAGACATAGTCGAAGTTTCTGAGGCAGCCGGCGAGGTTCAGAGTCTGTATGTCAGGATTGTGGCGACTGTTGTGTAGGGGCCTCCAGAGTAGATGTAGACCATATATACACATATACAGATGTGTATGATTAATTTAATATGGCTACTGGGAAGAACCGTGGCTTTGTAAGTGTTTATATAGATTGCAAGCATGTTGTTAAATAGCTTGCAACCCGGTTGTATCTATATTGCAAATCACTTATAAGTGTGATAAACAAATACAACTGTTAAGAGACTTAACTAAGTGTTTACATAAGTGGTGTAAGTATGTTAAACATTTACAAAGGTTAGGAGGTTTAGCTAAAGTTTAGCTAAGTTAACATAACTTTTTGAAGTACAGTTCTTATATAGGGAAATGACTATGTTAGGCACGTAAATGACTTGTGTTTCAAGGGTGCATGTATACAGGGGGGGGGGCAGGGCGGACAATTAAATGCATATCCTGTTGCCATGCAGCCGTTTTTTTTTCAAGAGAACTTGGAAAAGATGAAGCCTGCCTGGGCTACGGCCGTGGAGCAGGCATTGAAGAAAGATGCTCCGGCATTGGAGAGATGGACGGAGATCGAAACTATCCTGCAGGAGAGCAGGAAGTGCTACAGGCAGGTGCTGCGGCCGGGTCAAGTCCTGGTGCACCCGTCGAATCGCTCAGGGTTAGGATTGAATGGAGCCCAAGTTCACAAGACAGGGGCCCAAGTGCAATCTGTAGGCTTCAGCTCCATGGAGCTGAAGCGAAGTGTTTGCATGGAAATATCCACGGATAGAGCTCTGAGCCAAAAGGCCTTTAGTTTCAACAAGCGGCAAGTGGATATGAATGGAGGGCTGCTAGCTGAGGTGCGAGGCGATGAGCGATACATGTCGTTAGCATGCAGTCACTTTACGGCATTTTGCCGTGCCTGCATTGCAGCATGTCCCTCGGACCAAGAGACGGTGTCGGACAACGGCAAGCTCACGTTGCAGCGATTGTCTACGGACTTTCGGCAGGCCGTGGATAATGGATGGGAGTGGCTGGTGCTGTCAGCGGAAGTTGATGCAGTACTGCCCTCGCTGGCCTCCTTCGTTCAGGAAGTCATGAATGCAGCCCAAGGAGTTGCAAGAACGGCAGGCGAGCTGGAGCTCGCCATGGCGATGGTGACCCGAGCAAAGTTGCTGGCAGAGCAAGGTTTGTGCATCGACTGGGATGTTGTGCAAGCTGATGTAGCAGCCGCGGTGCCGGATGCCTCGCCACAGACCGTGGCCGCTTGCGGGTTGTTCTGCAGATTCTATGCAGGAGGAACCGAAGCACCTCTGCTGAAGTTTTTGCACGACTTTTCCTTGAAATATGGGGCAACCAAAAGATTGGGAGAGGAATTCATGTCCACGGTCGCCGGCCTCCGGTTTGCAGGGCAGGAGCGATCGCATGCTTTCGCAAGGGCTGCGATGATCGCGACGAACCTGACAGCCACAAAAGTGGTAGACGGTGTGGCTCGGCTGCTGAGCAAGAGCGATGTCAGCAGGCTCTGTGCGAAAGGCATGGAAGATGCTGTAAAGGATTGGGAGGAGCTTCTTGCTCGTGCCTGGGCTCACACTCAGAATGTGACGGATGCAAGTGCACGTGCCAAGGCAGTTGAGTGCTTCGGTCGCCTGATGGTTCGCAGCACCCTCTTCATGTGCAAGAAAGAGAAGTCGGGGCAAGAAGGCCTTGAGCACGGGTCATTGGCCAATTTGCTGACTTTGTACGAACACGAGATGGGTGGCAAGAGTGCCGGTGCAACACCGGCTGCTGCTACAAAAGATGGGCCGTCTGATGCGGCCCCTGCGACCTTGGAGAACATGCAGGACCCGGCCTTCCTGATGAAGCTGCAAGGCTTCGCAGAGGGGAACCTGTACAAAGGCAAGCAGAAGTATCAGGACATCTGGCCTTGGAAGCTGGAGAAAATCGGCCAGAGCCACGGCTCTTTCTCGCTGTCTTGCCCAGTGAGCTGGGACAAGAAGGTCGAGGTGCCTCTGAGCGAGCTCAAGAAATTTTTCGATCTGTATAGCGGAGATGCACCCGAAGTGGTGTCTGACTCTGTGGACCGACTGCCCCATAATACGGAGGCTTGCAGCCAAGAGAGACTCCGAGGAGAGTTCTTCGAGCTCTGCTGCGAGTATTTCCTGAAGTACTCGCACTGTGAAGAGGAGTTGACCTTTTTGAAGAATCCCACGTGCTGTCTGTTGGAGGGCAAAGCCAAGACAGGCAAGCTGACGATCTTCCCCTTCACGGATCAGATTTCAAAGGTTGGCTTAAAGCCGGCAGCTGGCAGTGTGGAGGTTTGGCATTCGGCCTCGGGCACAAGCTTGTATATTTCACCCCCGGCTGCAGCCGGAAGTTTGCTATCTGCCTTCTGGCAGATCCCGGTCGGCTCAGAGCCGAATCTGGCGACAGTCCTTCTGAACGAGAAGGGCTGGAAGATTCCCATTTTGAAGAACACTGCTTCGCTGAAGGAGTGCATCCTGTACAGGCCGAAGCCTGCCGAAAGTTTGAGGGCCTCGGCCCAAGAGCTGGATCAAGGATCCGCTGCCTCGCGAAAGCGAAAGGCTTCTTGAGTTACTCGACAGTTCTCGCTTGCTGAGTTTTCCGGGAAAAGGAGCCAAGGTTGATGTCTGCAATGGAACTTTTTGGCGCTTTTGCAAGTGTGAATTCAAGGATGGTTTGCAGGCACGTGTTGTTGATCTTTCCATAAAGTTCGGCTCAAGGCTAATATAGGTACAATGCCGCTGGTAATCGAAAGAATATATGTCCTGAAGCTGGATGGTGCCAGCTGGACTGTGGGTGACAAGGAGCTAGAACCAACGGACCATGGTCCGTTTGTGGTACTTCGTCCATGGAGCCCGGGCTTGTGCAAGCTGCTTTCTAAGCAGCATAGCATAAAACTGCCAAAATACCCGGCAAAGTCATCGTTGTCCCAGAGCGATGTTTATCTATCGCTCGTGGGCTCCCGAAACGATGCCTCCAAGGAGCAGCAGTCCAAGCGGCAGGCAGAGAAACTGAAAGAACAGAGCTCTGGCCTTTTCGGCGGGGAAGACAGCGAGGCTGCTCTAGTGTCTGTAACAGGCAGCTCTCCGAGAAAAGCAGCGAAGACTCGCTTGTCCCGCCGTGCTTCCAGGGAAGCAAGAGCAGAAAAGAATGTGCTCAAGGTTACCTGGATGGGAAAGGAGATCCGTGTCCTGGAGGCGGGCCATGTCACGGATGTGCCCAAAGTCCACTTGGATGATATGGCACTGTTCTTTGAAGCAACACAAAATGCCGTGCTTACTGCTGAGTCTTTTCAGACTAGAGCACGGCAAAGCTTTCCTAAGGGAACTGCTGCGAAGGACAAAGTCGTGAAAATCGGCCAAGGCCGCCAGGCTCAACGGACAGGCGACGACAGAAGGTATTCGCTTGTCAAAAAAGCCGGGGCCAAGGCCCGGCCCTTGGATCCCTTGCCGCTGCAGGAGGCTGAGGCGACTGCGGCTGCCAAAAGGGCAGCAAAAAGCCAGGGGCAGTCCTCCAAACGGAGGAAGCCTGGGGTGCTAGTGAACTGAAGGTTCGTTTGCTTCAGGAAAACCATGCAAAGCCTTGTTGTCTCATGTGCATGCAGTTGTTTGACTTGTAGCCTCGCATGTGCAGGTTGTGAAGTTTGTGCCGGTGTTTGCAGCTGTTTGGGCTCCTGTAGGGAGCCCTTGGATGGGGGCTGGCCTTTTTTACGAGGCCAGGCAAGGGATCCTTTTAAGTTTCTTTCAAACGAAACATATATACAGATATAGATATATAACTATAGACTATAGGCAGCCCGGGAGACTGCGGTTTCCTGGACAAAGCCGGGAGACTACGGTCTCCTTATAATTGTGGTGGACCACGGTTTGCCATCTGTCTGTGAGAGGAGACCACGGTCTCCTACAGAGCTGGCTAGCAGACTACGGTTTGCTTATCAGTGATGCAGGGGTTGCTTTTCGGCAACCGTGCTGGCCGGCAGAATGCAGGCAGACCAAGGTTTGTTTGCATCTGCTGGCAAGCATGCAAAGCAAGCAGACCACGGTTTGCTTTGCTTTGGGAGAGGAGACCACGGTTTCCTCGTGGGTGCATGCCACGGCATGCACCAAATACTATATGTATATATATATATATACATGTGCTAAAAAGAGTCTGGCTTAAGGGATCTTCCCTAAACCCTATACCCTCCCCGATCCTCTATAAACCCTTTTTTTGTCCTGGCCAGGCGAAGTCGTCGGCCATGCCCAAGCACCGGGACCAGGATAGAAGGAGGAGGAGCTCGAGCTCAGAGGATAGAGAAGAACGACGAGATCCTCGACTACGGTCGAGATCTCACGAAGAGTCCGAGGACCAAAAGAAAAAGGAGGAGGATGGCAACAAAAAGCCAGAGGAGAACGAGAAGAAGAAAGAGGAGGAGGAGAACTTTGAGGAGGAAACTGTGGCCTCCGAGGAGGAGGCAACTGAGTCCGAGGACAAAGAAAAGGATCCGGAGAAGAAGCCGGAGGAGGCTACGGCCTCGAAGCCAAAGGAGGCGGCCTCGGAGGCTGCGGCCTCGAAGCCCAGAGTCCCTTCTCTGGATGAGAAGACCGCTCCTGATTGGCCGATAAGTGCCGCCGGCAAGCAGAGGCTGGAGAAAAAGCTTGCAACAGCCAGGGTCGCGGCATCCCAGGCAGCTCTCCAGTCCTGGGCAGAAGAAGAGCAGGCCAGAAAGGAAAAGAAGGAGAAAAAAAAGGGAAAGAAGGATAAAAAGGAGAAGGAGAAGGATGAAAAGAAAAGCGAACGAGAGAGAGCAGAGAAAAAGGACAAGGAGGTGGATGAAAAATTGAAGGGGGCAAATGAGAAGGCAGCAGATGAGAAGAAGGACAACAAGCCTTCGGACGGGCCCAAGGGCCCGTCCAAAAAGTGCCCCATTTGCTGGAGGTGGATACAGGAGCATGCGGCCGCCCGTCGCCAGCACCGATTGTCGGTGTTTCACCGAACTTGGAAATACATAGCCCAAGGGCTCAGCAAGGAGGCTGCTGCAGGCCGGGCAAAGCGCCGGTTCCAGGAGCACTGGCAGCCCGGGAGGGAAGAGGAGAGCGAAGAGGAATCCGAAGTCCCAAAGTGGGAGCTGCGGCGGGATTCCGGCAACAAGGGCCATGGGTGTGGCGACAAGGGCCAGGGATATGGCGACAAGGGCCAGGGATATGGCTATGGTGATGTGAGAGGCGGCTCCGGCCCCTCGGGCGCCAAGGCCCATGCCGAAGGCTAAGGGCACGAAGAAGAGAAAAAAGCCGGGCCAGGAGAGACAATCTCCCTGATTGAGCCCGAGGATGACAAAGAGGATCGAAAGCCGGTGAAGCTTTTGCCCAGGAGTTTGCCAGCTAAGGCTGGCAAGACCGGCCAGGACAAGAAGAAGGGCAGCAAGGCTAAGGGCAGCAAGGCTAAGGCCAAGCGAAAGCGACAGGAGTCGCCGGTAAGGGACAGTGATCACGTCCCAATGCCGGACAAGAAGGACCCGGAGGATCCCGAAGGAGGCGGCCCGGAGAGCTACGGCAAAGTGGTGACGAGCCTCTTTCAGATAGCTTGTCACGAGCTGAGGCAGCGGTACTAGCTCGGCACAGCCGCCTGCCGTCTTCCGAAAAAAACAGAGTGACGGCTGGCCGTCTTCCGAAAAAAACAGAGTGCCGGCTGCCGTGTGGTGAAAAAAAGAGTGTCTCCGCGCTTTTTTCTCTTCTAGGGTTTAGGGTTTAGGGGTTTTTTTTAAAGAATAATTTTCTGTTAACCTTAAGATTGGAACCTTATCCAAACGTAGAAAATATGATATAGTTTTTTCTATATCATATATATTGAAAGGAAACCATATGATATAGTATATTCTATATCATATGATGGCCTCGCTGGCCATATGATATAGTTTCTACTATATCATCTAAGTCTGTGGGGCCAGATGTCATATGATATAGTTTTTCTATATCATATGTAATATTTTGGCCTCATATGATATAGTTTCTACTATATCATATGATTGACTTTGTTTTCATATGATATAGTTTTTTCTATATCATATTTTGGGGGTTTTGTGGGCCTGCCGAAATGTGTTCTCTGAGCAGCGGAAAGCCGGGCCCAAGCAGTCGTGCAGCATGCATACAGATGCCCAGAGTCGAGCACAGACAAGGTTTGGTGCAGTTGTGTTCGCAGACAGGCACCCCTTCCTGGGGCCATTTGTTGTGTCACCCGTCCTGTAGCTTGGTTTGTTGTTGCCATGGAGACCCAGCATCCAAGGATGCGAGAAGCCTCCACGGAGGCGTGTGGAAGCCTCCACGGAGGCGTGTGGGAGCCTCCACGGAGGCGTGTGGAAGCCTCCACGGAGGCGTGTATGTGGCTGCTTGCTGCTGCAGGCACAGGGAGAAGAAGGAACTCTCCACGGAGATGTTCCGGCATTTGCTGTTGGTGCGGTGCCGTGGTGATATAGGGCCATGGCCTCCAGCAGCACCGATGCTTTTGCTGAAAGACCAGCGAAGCTTCAGAAGGTGAATGCTCTGAGAAGGAAATTGCCCCATCTCACAGCCTCGGCTTTGTCCGAAGTTTGCAAAGTTCTCCGGGACGAGGGTGTCCCGGAACTCACACAAAGAAAACATATAGCCGAGGCTGCCTGGCAACCCCTGAAAGAGAATAGGATCCTCAATCGTCTGTCACTTTTGCAGACAGATGGTGCAGAGCTGCAGATACCCAGTGTCGATTTTTGGGCTCTGCTGCAAGCTGCTATCTCGGATGCCGACAGCAACTTCGCCCAATATTTTTGGGCGTGCATCGACAAGAATCCTCCGAGCCCCAGCTCGGCATGGCGGCTGATCCTCTATACGGACGAGATCGTGCCGGGTAATCCTTTGGCAGTCCAGACGAAGAGAAAAATCTGGGCTTGCTATGCCTCGTTCGTAGAACTTGGAAGCTATGCATTGCAGCACGAGGAGTCGTGGCTATGCATAGGACTGCTCCGATCCAGCCTGATGGCCAAGGCCGAAGCAGGTGTCTCTCAATGGATCCCGAAAATCCTGCGAGACATATTCATGCGGCCGGCCAACCATCTGGAGCACGGGTGCATATCGTTGCAGCGACCAGGAGGTCCGCCCGTCCTCTTCCGGGTGGTTTTGTCAATGATCGTTCAAGACGGTGGTGCCCATAAAGCTCTATGGAGCTGCAAGGGGGATGCTGGCACCCGCATGTGCATGCTGTGCAGGAATGTAATAGCACAACGATGTGATATCCTGCACAGCAGCGGGCTCCCCGTGGTCGGTTCCTCTGAGATCCGAGAAAGTAAGCTTTCGCTTGCGACCGACCAATCCATCCACGAGGCCATGGCTAAACTGGCAGAGAAGAAGATGCTTCTGAATGCTGCAGATTTCAGCACGTGGCAGCAAGCCACCGGCTGGACTTATAATAGTTGTTCCCTGCTGCAACAAGAGGATCAACGATGGCTGGTCCGGCCGGTCTCACAGTATTGCCACGACAGCATGCACACCCTGCTGGTCTCCGGTGTCTTCCAGACAGTGACCTGGCTTGTTTTGGAAGCTTTGCAGAAGCAGTTTCCCAATCTCTGGGAAATCGCCGACGAGTACGTGGCCAAGTGGACCCTGCCCCGGAACATCTCGGCCAAGGCCGAAGGGATGCTGGGTCAGTCCCGAGCAAAAGCATGCAAGGAAGCCGAGACCTTTAAATGCACGGCCTCCGAAGGCTTGACACTGTCTCCAATATTGGCTTGTTTCTTCAGGCAGCTCGCCAGGGCAAATGCAAATGTTGAGGCAGTGCAAGCGATCCAATGTTTCTTGCAGCTGGACAAACTCGTGGCATGCTGCCAGAGAGCTCGCAGTGAGGGAGCGGTTTCGCCCGGCCAGATGAGAAAGCACGTTTCCGATTTCTTGCAAGCAGTGCATGCTGCTGAGTGGCAGGACCGCATGCATTCCAAGTTCCATTGGCTTCTCCACTTCGGTTCGCACCTGGAAAAGTGGGGTTTCATGGTTCAGTGCTACACTCACGAAAGAAAGCATCGCACTATCAAGAGATTCGCCGAGGACATCAAGAAGACTTCTGCTTACGAGCAGGGTCTTCTCCGAGAAGTTCTTGGACAAGAACTATATTGCTTGGCAAGAGCTGATTGTTTCGCAGCGATGCTGCAGTTGCAGGACCCGAAGCCAGCTTCTCGGAGGAAGGCGGCAGCACTTCGCAAAATCATTCCGGAGCTGACCTCGGCACAAGTGATTCATGTGGCAGAAAAAGTCAGGCTGCCCTCCGGGGAACGGATATGTCGTGGCGATGCGGTGCTGCTTGAAGGGAACGGTTGCTTGGAGTGTGCCCTTGTCTGGGCATTCGTGGAACTGGCAGGGCAAGCCTACAGTGTTGTGCATTCCATTTCTTCTCTGCTTTGCGATGACCTCGTGGGGGAGTGCTCCTGCATAGACAGCCTGCATCTGCTGCCATGCAGAGACTTTCTGTGTGCATGCACATGGAGAGACATGGCCGGAGGCCGACGACAAATCATCCTGCCTGCTTCCCTCCGATGAAAAAGATTGATCCTGCATGCATCCTGGATTTTGGGAATCTGCACGTACACACACATGCAGGCGACCTGTACCATGCTCTTTTTCCATGGATGTGCATGCAGCTGCCATTTTGGCTCCTGTAGTGGGGTTGTAGCATCTTGGCTCCTATAGAGGGGGCTTCTGGATTCTCCTTTTCTGGCCACGGCTATATATATCTCGCCACGGCGAGATGGCCCGAGAGTTGCAGGCCGAGTTAAGCCCTATGGCCGAGTGGGCACAAAGTGGGAGCAAGGCTTCGGTCGATGCTTTGATGAACAGCTGGTGCACCCGGCTGGAGAGCCTTGGCTCTCTGTCGTTAGGGCAAGCCATGCAGATGAAGCAGACGATCCAGGATCTGAGCTTCGAGAGCACCCTGTCAGAACGGTTGCTTGAAAAAGTTGAAGCCAAAGTTCTGGCAACGGCCACGGCTGCAACACCGCCGCCAGATACTACATATACGCCGAACAAGCGAAAGGAGGAAAGCAAGCCGCAGACCTTGCTGAAGCCGGGAAACTTCATCACGGTCACTGAGTGGTCTATGCTGGAAAAGTCGCCAGCACCGGCAAGGCTGGAAATCCTTCTGAAAAGGTATCTGCAGCTGGCTGAGGAACCTCACAGAACAGACGGTCAAGAAAGGCCTGGCCTTCCTCTTGGCACTGGCAGCCGGCGAGCTCAGTCAGATGCCGACATATGAAGAGATCTACGAAGAGGTCCAGGTCTTCAAGAGATCTTGGGAATCCGTGAAAACGGAAGCTCTTGCAGAAGAACAAGAAGCAGAGGCTGCCGAGGCCAGATGGCCAGGCCGCCGTGTCTGAGCAGCATGCGAACGAGTTCCAGAGCCGCATGGAGCAGTGCTTCGGGCGACTGGAAAGACTGCTGGACCAGGGCTGCGGTCAGAATGCCATCCAGGATGGTGGGCGAAGGGAGCTGCAGCTTGCTGCAGGCGCCAATATCTTGCAAAGGAGGACTGCATGCTTCTTTTATCTTTTCCTTTGTTTTGCATCTGTATACACAGCCCATGCATGCTTTTCCATTTGTATACCTGCTGCAGGACCCCTGGACGGAACTCCATCACAGGAGGCGACCTGAGCAGCAGCAGTGCCGGGGTCGGCTTTGCTCTGGGCAACCCAGCCCAGGCGGTTTCGGCTGCGACACAGCAGACCTCGCCAGGGCGACAGTCGGCCTTGCAGCTGGCCCTGCCTCCAGCCGAAGAACCCGAAGCAACGGAGTCGCTCCCTGCCGAGAACGATCTCGAGGACGAAGATTTGTTCCGAAAGCTCAAAGATCGCAAAGCTGGGATTCTGAAGAAGCCGGCTGCTGCAGCTGCAGCGAGTGGCCAAGGAAACTTGGCCAAGAACAAGACAAAAACGAATGGCCAAGGCCAAGATCCAAAGAAGAAGGGCAAGGGCAAAGGCAAAGGAAAGTCCAAGGACAAGAGTGCTTCGAAGAAAGGCCAAGGCAAAGCAAAGGAGCAGCAAGCCCAAGGCTCGCATGGAAAGCGAAAGTTCCAAATTGTCTGGGAGGACGGCTGCATCCAGAAGAACTATGCTTCTCGCATGTCCAAGCGAGCCGGAACGTGGGCAAAGCAGCAAGGCTTCTCGGAGCAGCAAGTGGTAGAGTGCCAGCGAGAGGCCCACAGAGAGGCCATTCTGCTGTGGAAGAAGAAGAACGGCTGCTAAGCCAGCTGTGCAGGGCTCGAAAGCGATGCCAACGAACTTTTTGCTTCTATGTGTGTATGCACACATGAGCACTGCACCGAAAATCGGTTAGCATGCTGCACAGATAGATCATTATATACCATGCAGCAAAGTAGCTGCTGACACACGAGTGCATCGCAAGGAAACAGATGCATGCGAAGGGTTTTCACTGGGTCATCGGGCATGTATGGGGGTCGTCAAGCATGCTGTCTCATGTGCCTTATATCATGTGTGAAATCTGCTGCCGCCATGTGGCTCAAATGCTATAATATTATTTATAGAGCTTGCCCTTCGCCTGTCTTCGGGCGATGGCTGTGATATCCGGCCAAGGCCAAAGGTGCTGCGAACTCTAAAAACAGACTGCGAGTGCATCGCGGCCAAGGCCATCCTTATAAGCTCCTGCACACGTGCAGTTTGAAATGGGAGGAGCCTGCAGCCGCCGTTTGAGGATGGACCCGTGTGCAGGACCCTGCACGGAATGCGGTGACCCCAGTTGCTGCAGAGTGAAAAATGCACACCAGAACCACTGGTGTGCAAAATGCACAATCAAGTGGTACAATGAGAGGGATGTCCGTCGCAGCAACTACAGAAGGGCATGGAGGGAGTACGAATATATGAATATCGTGGAGTCCGGGGACGAGCATGCTCTCCCTGCCGTGCCCGAGCAGTCCTCTGCAGAGTATGAAGATGTGCATGGGGATTCCCAGCAGGAAGTGGCTGAAGAAGAGGAGCATGAGGAAGAGGAGTCTGAAAACTCAGCCTGAAAGCAAGCTTTCTTCCAGGCTACGGCCTCTTTTGCTGCAGAAATGCAGAATGGGATGCAGAAGGCTACGGCCTCCCAGTATATTATATATCTGCTGAAATGCAGAAGTTCTCAGGCTACGGCCTTAAACGAGGGTGAGGTTCTCTATAGCCGGAAGACCGTGAACGACCGGCATGCAAAAAAAGACTTGTGTTTTGCAGGGTTTGGGTTTAGGGCTTGAGGCTTTTATGTTCAGGGTTTGGAAGGTTTTAGACGTATAAGGGACCCCTTATGTTACTTAGACTAACCCCCTTTTCTAAGCTATGCTAACCCCTATAGCTAAACCAACTTAACCCTTTACATTTGTTTGTAAACAGATAGCTAACCTCGTAAAGTATGTTAACCATTTACAAGCCACCGGTTCTTCCCAGTAGCTAATGATGTATCGTGGAACCTCCACACGGAAAGGAGGCCAGCAGCCAGACCCAATGCTGCTTGCTTGCTGTGAAGTTGCCCTTTTCCGACAATGCGATGTAAACCCAGGCTCTGTGTGGCGATGTAAACCCAGGCTCTGTGTGATTTGAACAGCCGGGACCAGATGTCACCGCGATTTATGTGTTGCAAGAGACAACTGAAGCAACTGACCCGTGTGTTTTCTGACCATATTGTTGGGCTCGAAGGCTGCAAAGCTTAGATATAGTCTTAAGGAGTTTTTGAGTCGAGGGTGGCAAGGTTTGTTGTGCGTAACCTCCGAGTGGTTAAACGGCACGTCATGTCCATGCACGCCCCGCTGAAATCGTCGCAGGAAGCAGAGGTGGCCAAACCTTATTGTTCAAGGTCAGGTCATCTCGGTCGTCTCAGGACCGAGCAGAGGCCCACGGACATCTGTGTCAAAAGGTGTGATACACATCACGAAAGCACTGCGCATAGGGAAACAGCTACGAGCAAAAAGCCCACTCAATTCTTGATCTGACCGGCGGTGCAATGAGCAAGGAGATTCGCACGAAACGGTCCTGAACAGCTGCATCAATTAACTACAATGGTTCGAACAGGTTCGTCTAGCAGCTGGGAATTAGAGTAGAGTCGGGCCCAGCACCGTAAATCCCAGATCTTCGAAAATCCAAAATTCTAGACCCCATTGCATCTGAAAACTTCCCTTGGATTGTGGTTTCGGAGTCGGTCCCTTGCGCGCAAGAAAAAGAGAGAGAGAGAGAGAGTCGGTCCCTGCCGCCACTTCTGCAGCATCTGCAAAGACCACCGGGCCTCCTTTCCAGAAGCTGTCATGTCACCGTACTCCTTGCGCTTTTCCAACATTTCACTTCAGAACCCCTAAGCCCAAGCCCTAACTCTGAGCACCTGTACACCCCAAGTTTTAAAGCCGAAGCCTTATAAACCTTAAACCCTAAACCCACAAGCTCGAAGAGTCCGCGTCGAGCCAGACACGGTGTTGCCGCGACCATGTGCGTCCAGATCATCAGTGGCAACTTCGCCTGGATCACGGACGAAGAACGTCGCCGACGATACCTAACGGCAGTGGAGCTGCTTGGCACGAGGAAAAAATATTCTTCATTGAGGTCTCTACTGTAATTGCACTGCCACATCCTTCAAAACCGCAAGGAACATGTGTGCTAAGCGGCCTCGAGTGAGGTTGAGGATTCTGCCTCACAGTACCGACATCCCGCTTTCTACAAGTCCCTGAATCCGACTAAGAGTCCTGTGACTTGGCAGCCCAAGGTCGCGCCTGCGTCCGGTGGAGATGCTCACGCTTTCGAGCCTAGTATGCTTTGTGCTGTCCTCAGTATTGGGTGTTTTTGAGTGGGAGCTGACTTTCTTACAGTAAAGAGTGCTGTGATTCGTGTTTTTGCTGTTGGTACAAATCGCTACTAGTGATTGCTATTTGCGAGTTTGTTGTATGTCTCTCCTTGGCCTTGCTCCGGATGAAACGTATGACGCCAAAGAACCCGGCGAGCATGGACACAGAGAAGTTGATCAGGGAGATCTTTTTGCTCGAAGAAAGCTTGATGACTCCAGCTTGAGTCTTGATGTCGGCTCCTTCCCTGCCAGTTCCACACCCACTAGCTTGTGGGATCCCACCGTACAGCTTTGTGAGGACTCCGACGGGGCCAAGAAGTTGGGGAGTGACAGTTCCCCAGGAGCTTCTGCGTACCGATGAAGATCAGGGAGATAGAGTAGTGGTGCGCTTTGCGGGCACGCATGAGGAGACTATCCATGTTGACGACGTGATGAGCTGTTGCGTAAGTTCTGGTGATGTGGACAGAGAAGTCCGTGAAGAACTGCGGCGACTCAAGGCCATTCTTCAGGAAGAGGTCCGCTATGCTGCAGCTCAAATCGTAGCAGCGAAACAGTTGCAGCGCGTGCAGGACCGCCCTTACTTCCTATATGCGGGAGCGAACTATCTCCGGCAAGTCATTCCAGCCGATCGCTGGGGGATCACCATCGATGGCTGGAAACATTTTGTGGGCATCGTCTCGGAGAACTGGCGCAATGGAGAGATTCAGAACACAGGCACAGGTGAACATGCCTATGATCCTTGTAAATTCAACAATGACTTGATCGGCCCCAACATGTACCAGATCAATGACCAGGTCATCAAACCAGAAACCGGGAACGCCTCATTGATTTGCCCCGGTGTTAGCTGGGCCTTGATGCGATCCTTGGCAGGGGCCCAGGTCACTCGTTTTGTCTCCCACGCTTGGAAGGAAGGCATTTTTGAGTTTGACCGGTCTTTGAGAGCCAAATGGGATGGCACGGGTGCAATCTACATCTGTTTCTTGTCGAATCCTCAGAACCTCAACATCCGAGACATGCTGGCGGAAATCAGCACTTCGCCTTTCTATGTTGCTCTGCGGAACTTGCCACCAACTGGCTACTTGATTCTGGTATCCACTCAGAATACCGTAGTTCATGAAAGGAAGTGGTGCGTTTTCGAACTACATGTGGCTATGGAGAACAACATCGAGATCGTCTTCAGCGGAAATCCGCTCGACTTGGCGAGCAACAGAGCCGATGCCTCGGCGGCCATAGACGACATCGAGAGTCAGCAGCAAGCGATGAACAGGCCGACGACGCCAAGGACCACCCCCCAAGGGATCGTCGTTCACCCGTTTTCGTGGGACCGCCACTCAAGGCGTTGTGATGCTTTGTTTGCAGATTGCTGTCCTGACACTCGCTTTTGGTGCGGAAAGGCAGCCGAATACTTCTGTTACATCATGTGTATCCTTTTCTTGACATGGTTTATTTCGTTTCTGTGTGGCGTATTCTTTCCCATTCGCTGTATTCTTGTCCTTTTTGGGGCCATTGTCTTTGCTATTGTCTTCCTCTTTGTGTGTCCACCGCCCACCGAGCGTACCACTGCGCTCAAACATGCCATGCACGGGCACTTCATCGACGTCCGCAAAGCAAGTTGCGAAGAAGATGCTGATGCGAGGGCTATCGATAGATGGATCAAGGGAAAGGAAGATGACATCAACAGGGAGGTGGGCAGATTGATGTTCAATGCTTCGGCCACCCAGTTCGGCCACGCTTCTTGAGGCGGTGGAAGGTTGTTGACTTGACAGCTGTGATCATGTCAACTGTCGAGACTACAGACATTCAGACATCCGAGCTATCCCTTTTAGTAGACAGCAGTGCAAGCTCACGTCGCCGTTTTTCCCCACATGGGTTTTCCCCGGGGCTGTATAGAGGTGTCCGCTGCGCAGCTGAAAGCATTGTGCAAGGAATCGCACATCAGAAAAAGGCGTGTCGTTAGCTTCCTGTACTTGGAAGAGACAGATATCTTGCCTGCCATCACACTTGTCGAATTTCCAGCAACGTGACAGAGACCGCCTTTCCATGCTCCAGCGCTCGGCTGCTCCAGTCTCAGGCTTTGGAGAGGCCTGTGTAAAGACAGTGTAAAGACCTACGTGGCAAGCTCTGCTGCCAGAAGCCCAAAGAAGGCTTTTTACAGTGGACAGCTGAGGCGGCCAAGGGAACCGCTACATCTCCAGAAGCATATGCTTGCAAGAGCGAGAGCGCACACACCCTGCAGTGTGTTTCCTGGTTGAACTGCGCGACCGCTAATGTTCGCAACCGATTTCCAGACATCACCACCTCTGTGCTCCAAGCACAGGGGCTCCTCAGCTTGACCCACATGACCAGCTTTGACAAAGCGTAGGATCAGAATCAGGTCCTTGGTTTTGGCCTCCTCGGCATGGCGTAGATGAATCTCGGTTGGACAAGG